TGTCGTTGGTCCATGCCATTCCCTTCTACATCCAGCCCGTCTGGAACGACGATGGGATGGTCATCTTCCAGCGTCTCTTCCCCGGTGGCAGTGGCATTATCTACGGTACCGGAATTGCCTGCTTGGTTCCCCTTGTCTGGCTCTGCGTCGCCTCCCTTCCCTTTATCCGTCGAATTGCCTACGAGCTGTTCGTGATTCTCCACGTTCCCGTCGGCGCCGTTTACCTCGGCGTGCTGTTCTGGCACACGAAGAACTTCCTGGCTTCGTGGAGCTATCTCTACACCTCCATCGCCATCTGGGTTTTCTGCTACATGATGCGCTTTTTCAAGCTTAACTGGACGAGGCCGTGGAGGTTTGCGTTCATGGTTGGCGATGAAGCTGCCATCACACTCATGTCGGAGAATGCCATCAAGATTACCATCCCCACCCAGATGAGGTGGAAGCCGGGCCAATACGTCTACCTCCGTATGCCCGGCATCTCATTCTTTGAGAACCATCCCTTTACTATCTCATCACTCTGCAGTGACGACTTTCCCTCCGAGTATGGTGAGGATTACAGGGACTGCGTCCTTGTCTTCAAGCCTTATGGTGGGTTCACCCGCCGTGTGCTCGAGACGGCCATTGAAAAGGGCCCCTTCCACACTTACCGCGCATTCCTCGATGGTCCTTATGGCGGTATGCGTCGAGACCTTGCCGCCTTCGACACCTGCATTCTCATCGCTGGTGGTAGCGGCATCACGGCCCTCATGTCTCAGCTCCTTAACTTGATCAAACGCATGAGAGACGGCAAGGCCATCACCCGCAAGGTCGTCGTCGTTTGGGCTATCAAGCGTCTCGAGGCTATGGACTGGTTCCGCGAGGAGCTTCGCATCTGCCGCGACTCGGCTCCGCCCGAGAGTGTAACCTGCAAGTTCTTCGTGACCGCCACTACCCGCCCACCGCGCATGGGCATCGGTGGACCCGCTAACGAGGGCGGAGCTCGTGCTCTGAGCAACATGTTCCATGACAAGCTGGACGGGTTCGTTGCGGGCATTGCATCGAAGCGTAACTCGGCTCTTATCATGGCTGAGGCCCAAGGTGATCCGGAGCGCGAAAGGGAGCTCCGCGCTGAGAACGACGACAAGATCACCGCTCTGCCCCAAACCAAACACCTCCAGGCCCATGCGCACATTAACCCAATCCCTAACCCTCCCGAGGGCCCGCCGCCCGGCATCCGGGTTTACTCTCCCCAGGACGACGTGAAGCCTCCACTTAGCAACGACAAGAAGCCGTCCGGCGACTTCAACAACAATGACGAAGACACCACCTCAGGCAAGAAGCGCGAATTCCACTTCCCACCTCTCGCCCCCCGCGCCGATGGCCCCCACTTCAACTACGCCCCTCCCTCTCCCCGCAAGATCCCTCCCCCAACCGTCACCGACGACGACAACACCACCAACGACCCCCTCCCCGTCCGCGCCCCCGAGCTCGCCCACCTCCGCACCACCAACCTCCCCGGCCGGAACCAACCCCGCCCCAACAGCACCTTCGGGCCCCCCTCCGGCTTCGAATTCGGCTTCTCCGAAACCCCCACCGAGTTCCGCAAGAACCTCATGCGCTTCGCTTTTCCCGTGCCGCACCAGATTGACGGCGGCTGGAGCGTAGAGTACGGCCGGCCCGACCTGGGCTACATGCTTCGCGAGTGGGCTCGCGGGGCTCCAGAGGGTAGGGGGATCTTGGGGAGGAGGACGGCGGTGTTTGTTTGTGGGCCGCCGACGATGAGGGAGGGGGTTGCGAGGACGGTGGCGAGGTTGCAGGCGGAGATTTGGGGGGATGATATGCTTGAGGAGATTTTCTTGCATACGGAGAATTATGCGCTGTGATGTGGGATACCCGACGTTTTATTCATGTTGGTTTTTCTTTTGGAAAAAAAGGGGGTGTATTTGTAGCAAGACACAACGGGGAGGCTGCGCTCCTACACCACGGCCAGAACTTGGCGTTTGTTTGATACCATGGGTTCAGGAGGAGGAAACCGGGAGGAAGGCAAACACTTGCCGTTCCCTTTTTTTTATTATGTATAATGCTGAGAGCACCCCTGCCCGTTTCTTTTCCCGTTAATATTCGTTGGTCTCGGGGTCATTTATGGGAGTATTGGACAGGTTCGGGGCTTGGAACACATCGACACTGGGAGAGAGAGCTGCTCGGTCGGCTCCTTCCGCGTATATACAGTTTTGTATTTTCCTTCTCTATTTTCTATTATCTTTTTATATACTATCTACGGTCTTAGGTCATGAATGAAGATGTTTGCTACTCCAACATTCAATCCTAAAGTCGGGATCTCTAGGTTTGGGGAATCATGGCTGGTGTTCTAATTCTTTTTCTTATTGTCTTTTTTATACCTCGAAATGCTAGGGTGGCCGAGATTTTTCAAATTTATGGAGAGAGTCGCCAACTGATCTGGATACCTAAGTGACAATGGCTCAGTGGCTCCCCATACTGACGAGCTACGAGGGCTGAGAGGGCTGGTGAAATCGTTCTGGGTGGGGAAGAAAATGGGAACAAACAGTTTCTGGTTGGTGTTTTGGCACGTTCAGTCTGAAGAAGTACCTCTTGATCGTCCTGGGAATCTCTGAGAACGGCTTCGAGGTACTTAGGGAATTTTCTACTCCGGGGCAGCTCATGTAAAAGGCGTTTACTTTCTTGTTCGAATTGTCTTGTTTCTCTTTTCCTCATGCTCTCATTTGCGTAACGGACATGAAACTGGTAAATAGCTGGTGAAGTGACTGAAAAGCAGTAGAAGAAACAGTTCAAAGGCTGTTCAGAACATAAGACGAAAAGGCCGTGATAACAAAATAATCGAACGCTTCAAACAAGACGCTTAGAATACAACACAACAACTGTTTACTCCTCAGGAACATCGAACACCACCCTCGTCGCGCCCGTCCGATCCTTCGTCTCAGCAACCTCTCCCCTCCTCTCCTCCAACGGCAAGATCGGTCCCCTAAGAACCTTCTCGCGGTGCCACGGCCCGACAAAGATACCCTCGGGGTCAACCTCATCGCGAACCTTTCGCCACTTGACAAGGTCCTCGCCGTACATCTCCTCGATGGCGGCCGTGTCGGCCAAGAAGTTCTTCGCCCAGTGAGGGCGTCCGCCGAGGTCGCGCATGAGCCATTCGAAAGCCTCGTAGTACCTGGGCATAACGGCAGGGTTGGTATGGTACGGCCTGTAGAGGGTAGCGTTGAGGTAGAGCGTCGGGCCGTCAGACATGGAAGAGTCGAGGAAAGGGCGTGAAGCGAAAGCCTCGGGGGTGGCGGGGGCGGAGTTCGTGACGCGGACCTCTAGAGGGGCGTGGACGTAGATGCCGTCAGCGGAGAAGGGAATCTTAGGCTCCCAGTAGTCAGGGTGGTCGGGCTTGAGGTGGTTGAGCCAGGAGCTGAGACGGCGCAGGGCCTCGGGACCCTTGTCGAGTGGGATGGCCCACTCGTTGACGTATTGAGAGTAGAGGCAGTTGAGCAGCAGGGCCTTACGGCTGGGTTGGATGGCGGAGTTGGTCGTTCCGTTCTTGAAGCCGTATTGCATGCCGAAGACGAACCATTCGACCCAGGGGAGGATGCGCGGGAAGAAGTGGCCGACGTAGAGGAGGTTGTGGTAGATGTGATAGCCGAGAGAACCGTCGTAGTAGCTGACGGGCGGGTCGTAGGTGGGCTCGGTGGATCTGTCGGCGGACCAGATGACAGCGCGGCGGGTGTGCGGGAGCCACCAGACGCGGATGAATTCCTTTTGCGACCAGAATTCCCTGCTCCACGAGGAGAAGAGCCTGTGATCCGCGTCGATAACTTGGGTCCAACTAAGATTGAAGGCTTCTATGGCCTGGTAGGTGACTTCGACAATGATTCCTATGGCACCAAGAGAGAGCAGACCGGCTCGGTAGAGCTCATTATTCGAGGTCGCAGAACACTCCTTGATCGAACCATCGGCGAGAACAATCTTGAAAGCGAGAATATTCTCCGACACAAGCCCGTGCCTCAGACTACTCCCATGGGTCCCCGTGGAAATCACGCCAGCGACCGACTGCTCATTAATACTCCCCAAATTCCGCATATCAAGGCCGCGCTTCTCGAGCTCGTCGCCCAGATCGCGCAACCGTATTCCGGCCTCCACGCGCACCTGATGTGTCTTCTCGTCGGTCTCGAGGATGGCGCAGAGCTTGTCGAGGTTGACGAGCCAGTGGGAGGTGCAGGTGAGGTGGGAGGGCGAGTGGCCGGAGCCGGTGACGACGACGCGACGCCGGCATTGGTGGGCTAGGCGCAGGAGTTTCTGGACTTGGGCGACGGATTCGGGCTGGAAGTAGAGCTCGGGGACGGAGGAGAAGGTGTGCGCCCAGGTGGCGTGGATGTGGTTCTTGGTTGCTTTGAGGGGGATGCCGTCGCTGGGGTTGTCCAGCTCTTGCTGGACGGCGGCAAGTCGAGACATGGCGTGGAGTGGCAGACTTCAATTCGCGGGAGTATACCGAGATGGGGAGAATTCACCCCCGGCTGCTGCGCTGCTATTGATCACAGCTAGGAAGAGGCCAGCAAGGTGAAGCTGTCCAGATCCAAGGGCAAAAAAAAAAAAAAAAAAAAGAGAGAGAAGAAAACATAAGGTGACCAGGGTCGAAGTCTTGGTCTCAGGTGGTCGGAAGTGGGGAGGGGCTCCAACAATCACACAATCGGAGCGCTGCATGAGCTGTGCGGGTCTCAATTACCGTGCTCAAGCTCGCCGGTTCAGGGTGACCCCGGGCGCCTAAATACGGAAGATTTTAGTGGGACCCCGCTATTGCTGATAAATTTGGGGTCAGCCAGGCCATCCAGGCCATAGCTCCTCTTGCGAATCATCTCCGCGGATGAACTCGGAAACTTGGGAGTGGGGGTCCGGAAATGGATGGAGTCATGGGCTCAAAGTAGTCTTGCAAGCCAAAGCTGTCACTGATTGCAGGTCGTGAATGATGGAGAGCGTGTCTCAGTGAAAAGATTCAGTCTCTATGTCCCGTCTATGCGCTGACCCATGGTCCCATCTCGGTTCGCACGCCAGACTCCCTCCTCGTCCTCAAACTGCTCCAGTTTCCAAATCTCAACCTTTGACTTGCACTCCTCCAGGGCCTCCTCGCCAGCTCTCCAAGCTGCTTGGCGATGTGGTGAAGAAACAGCAATAAGGATGCTCTCCTCGCCAATACCCACGACACCTAGTCGGTGAACCATGGCGAACCCTTTCAGGGAATGCTTCTTAGAAATAGCCTTGGCGATAGATAGCATGGTCTGGAGGGCGAGCTTGTGATAGGCGGAGTACTTAAGTTCCTTCACGGGCTTTCCTGCAAAGTTATCCCGCGTTGTACCTGAAAAAGGGCGGGTTAGCAGAATCCCCTCGTCACCATCTCTCTCCTCTCCACATTGTCATACCAGCAAAGACAACAATGGCTCCGGCAGCAGGACTTCGAACCTTGTCCATTACTGCGTTGACGTCCAAGGAGCTGTTTGTGAGGGCGACGTAGCACCCGTCTTCAGAGAGGTCCCATGTTTCTTCCACTTTCGGGTCCATGGTCGCCGCAATGTCCAGCATCAACCTCTTGAGACGGTTAAAATTGTTGGAAACTAATTTATTACATCATTCAAATTCGAAGATAAATTCAAAGTCAGCTCCAGCGAGGAGCGAAATCGGTGTCTTCTCCACCACGATGGACAGTGTATTTGAGGTATAACATACACGTTGTTTGTCTCGAGTTCGTTTACGGCTGTTTGTTTCCCCGAAACCCGAACCCTGAAATTAACAACTTTTCTCCTCTTTCCCGCCTTCAATATTCTTTCCCGACTGTCCTGCGTGGTCGTTGACGTTGGTGGTCGTTGTCCTGTGCAGTTCTAGGCGACTTGATCCAACGTCCTTGCCTGCGCCTTCTAGTTTGGATAAACGCGGCTACGCAGAGCAGCCCTCTGCGGGGAGATATCGTGCTGTTGTCATAGCCCCTTCTTCCGACAGTCTACCTGGACGCTCATGAGCGTCAACAGCTCCGTGCCAAGCCAGATCCCCACCGGCGGGTCGAAGTGGAGTATGACATCGATTGGATGGCCCGTGTGCGCCTCAACCTCCGTGTAGCTGGCGCTGCTTACTAGCCTCAGACCCTGGTGGATGCTCTGGTTCGCGATGGCGGACATACTAGGAATGAACATGATGAGGGCAGGTACCGGCATGGCGCTGTTATTAGCCCATAACCAGGAGGGCTTCCTCCTCCATCGGCTCGCCCTCTTTCCACGGGTGTTCCTTCCGAAACGAAGATGGGGAGCGAGGTATGTTATCGCCTCTATAGAAGCCTAGGACGCGTCGCCTTGATGCATGTTCAGATTACACCATCTTCTCACCAGAGACTTCAAAGGTAAAACAGCCTACCCATTCTACCGTGATGGCGTTGCTCGTATCGAAAGACCCCAATGCATCACCTCGCTAGCTCATGCGATGTATACTAGCAGCTGGTTGCTAAAGAGCTCGCTCTTGGGAATCTGGACGTCTTTTTCGTGGAAGTCATGTAGCAGAAGCCAACACAACATCCGGAACACCAATGTGCACCAAATCGACTGTGCGTCAGACTTCAGCCTCTCCTCACCGCATACTATGTCTCCAATGCGGACGTAGCTCTCCATAAACACCCTCTCGCGCTCCTTAGGACCCGCAGCGTTCACCCCACGAAAGTGAGGCGAACCATCTCGGGGGAGTAAGGCCTCCTGCAGATGGCGTCTAACGATCCGGATTACCTCTCTCTTTCTCCGGACTAGTATGGAATCGCACTCGTCAAGTGCCTCATGCAGCGAGTCTAGGATGCGCAGCGAGAAGGACCGCAGGTTTAGATTGCCAATGAGCGAGAGAAGTTCCTCAGCTCGCTCGATGAACTCGAATGGGCCTACGAAATTTTTCTTCACTTGGTTTAGGAATTCGCACAAAATTCGGCATACTGAGAAATACTTGTCGTCCCAGCGATAGCAGGTTGGATTCGGTAGCATGCGGAAGCAGCTGTTTTTTATGTGAAATGTCTGACCCAGCATGCCAAGGATTTCAAATACCACTATTATTAAAGTGCGAGTCAGCGACTGGCTCGGTCTAAGATCTCAAGAATCAAGTGTTGAGCCTACCAGGAAACAAATGCGTGTGGTTGAATCTCTCACTGCAAATATAGTTGGTCGTGGCGCGATTGCAACCCAGTAGTATGAGCGTCTGTGCTATCTCTTGTGGGCTCCCAAGATGGAGTACACTGAGGTCACTGAAGAGCCCTTCATCTAGAGGCTCCGAGCTACTTGCATCATTGAAGCCCTGATAGATAGTAGGAACGACACCGAAACAAAGCCCTTTCACCTCGTTCGCCGGGATGAGGCGATTTTCCCGGAACTTGCGTTTTCCGGAGATCCGAAAGTTGAACACGATACCTAGGTTTGCCAGGGTTGCGCCAGTCAGCACACAACCGTTGCCTTCAGCTCGGTACCTGTCCTGGGACTGGTCAAACTCTTTCCAGTGCAGGCCGAGCATGGCTACCATCTCGACCAAATGGCAGATACTAGTTACAGCATAGGGCCTCTTGACATTGCTGGGCATGGTGCCCCAGTCTCGACGCTCTTTCTGCAACGCCACCGCCATGGTATGGTCATCCCAGACAACCCGTGGCCGCTTGTCGTCACCGATCCTCGTGTACTCTTCCTCCTCCCAGGCCATGCTATCGCGCTCCATGCGCTGCAGCTCGTTCAGCATGGTTGCCCACGTCGAGTGCTCATTTTCAGTAGTACCGATCCCTTTGATCGAGAACTGCTCGTGCATCGCTATCTCGTTCTGGAGATTGGTGTCTGTTGCGATCAAGCTGGCATCCGTACCATTGAGGTAGAGGATCTCGCTACCGACAACAGGGCCGTCCGTGTTTTTCGGCGGGCACACGAATATGACCGGCATTTCGAACTCGATTCCGGACCGCGACGGCGGAGTTGAGGTAGTGGTCCCCTCTGTGTAAGTTTTCCGACTGGAACACAGTGTATGTGAAGCAAGTCGCAGCACTTTCCTCTGCAAAGCACCCGTGTCATGCCAGATATCCTGTGCTGACTCTAGTGATTCGGAGCTTAAGTCGCACTCAATCTGCTCGTCGATAGCTTGAACATCTCGTTCACTGAGCATCTCACCGAAGTCGTCTGAACTAGCAGAGAATCTCATCAAAGCGACTTTATCCTCTGAAGTCGTTTCATGCGAGTCCCCTGGATTGGATCCTTCTTCGGGAGCATCACTTATGGTTTCATTGGCTAACTGTATCGCTCTCACAGCGAGTGTATCGGGCGAAAACTCTTCTGAGCGTATTCCGAGACCTAACTGCCGATTTGCACGGTGAGACAGCTCTACAGCTGCCATTGAATTCTCAAGGGAGAGGTGGATAATACTAGCGATTTGTGAGATAGACCATAGGCAACCGTGGACGGAAAGAACCTACTGGATATTCTGTGAGCTGCGGTCTCTCGTTGTCTGGAGGATCATCACATCGAGTACTGTGTCCAAAATCTGATACTGCCCTTTTAAGGCCTCGCGGTAGAAGAGCAACTTGTCCTTGCTCGTGAACACCCATTGCAGTCTGACTCGTAGCTGCCGAATCTTTCCAGGGCTGGTCTTAAAACGGACGAGAAGCGGCTTCAGCGTATTTTGGAGGCGATCAAGAGGCGTCAGAACTCTGTCGCATATGTCAGTGACGTCTTTAAGGAGGCTCTGAAGGTCTAGGGAGACATCGGTTGAGCTCTCGAGCTCAGTCTTGACGCATCTGAGCAGCTTGGAGAATGCGTTAATCTCCTCTGCGTAGATTCGAATTTCCTGCCCGGCGGAGCCTATGTCACCAGCAATTTGAAATAACCCCTGGGCAATCGTGAAACCCAGAGAGATAATGCCAGCAGCGCCGCTGGCGACGCTGAAAGGATCTGACATGCTCAAGCCGGAGGTTAAGGGAACTGGCCACCCCAGAATTCTAAAGGAGACTATGGCGATGAGTCTTGAGCGCAATTAAAAGAAGTAAAAGGAATAAGAGGAGATATTGGGCAGATTTCCTCGACAGCCTTGCCCCGCACAAGCTGGACGACCGATCCACGCATGCCACGCGCCCTTCCAAAGCCTTGAGGTGGCTGATAATAAAACTCGAACATGGGACGCTGAAGTGTTATATCGGGGGTAATGGATCCTCTCTTCAGTGATGGACATCTTTTCAAAGTTCAAGCTAAAACTTGGATCTTAATCTTCATTCCCCAAGGCTCTCCTGGGTAAACTGCTTGCCTTCCCGTCTTGGGGTCTGGAACACTTTGACAGCACAGTTCTAGGACTCGTCGCCATTGATATCCCAAGATCCGTAGATGATACATTGTCCAGCAAATAAGAGCCCAACTAGGCATGTACTAGGTACATGGTTTGTCTCTCTAGAAGGCTTATACTACTTGTCTGTAGCAGTTGGTGAGAGGGTATGAAGTAATGAAGTGGGAAGCTCATTGAGTGGCATTCTCTTCTCTTCTACATACTACTTAACCAGGGCGTGTCACTAGTGGAAGTGGAGGCTTTATTGTCAGGTGGCAACAGACGGGCAACCTCGCTTAGTTAATCACTGGTTAACGATGACTTCACTCCAATTCCAGCAGCTTCATTCCTTTGAACTCTCTTTCTCCAACTCCCACTCCCACTCCCAGACTCATCGCACATTGCCGCTTATTTTAAATATTACAACCTGAAAGCTCTCAGACACAATTGCTATTTTCAAAAGTCACAAATTCACATGTTATTGAATTAGACCTTTGCGACCCCTTCCTTACACGATGCAGATGGTCTAGCTGCAGTTCGAACAGCCTTGCCTTGCGAAAGTGACAGGCCTTCCTCAAATACACATCTAGACAACGACCCGAAAGCCACCATGCATCCCGAACAGCGGGGGAGATCCCCGACGAGGGACCGATATCACGATCATTACAATCAGCGACGAGGAAATGATGACCCACGAGATGGGGCGTATGACGAACAAAACGACTATTATCGAGAGCGGCATGGTAAAGCTTGAACTGAGCCCATGGAGGAGTCACGTCGAAAGCAGAAATGGCATCTTAGATGCCCGTGATAGAGAAAAAAAAATCACAAGTGGCCAGAATTAGGGATGGTTTGAGCTGTAAGCTAACTTGCCCACGGGACGACGAGGATACTCTCGATCTCCTCCACCCAGGATCGACTTGCCTTACGACGACCTGCCTGAAGAGGAAGCACGGTATCGCGATGGCGCAAGTAGAAGGCACTATGGATATTCCGACGACGGAAGGGATTACCGCGATCGGAGAGGCCCTTCGCAAAACGACTCGAGGCCGCGACAGCGTGATTCACGCGGGGATGCGGACTATGATGACCCCTATTACTCCGATCAGCACGGACACTACCGACACCGGTCGGATTCCCATTCAGACCATGAGCGTCACCGTCGACCGCGAAGCCGGCGTAGGAGCCGAAGTTATTCGCGCTCGCCGTCACGTCATCCCGGCAATCCCAGTGATACCGTCATCTTAGAGGGTCTCCCTACCGACATCTCTGCAAATGAGGTAAGCGACCACCGGTCTAACCTGCAACAGAATCTCCGCCATATTTCGGCCTCTTTCCATGGTTCTTTCACGAATCTAACCATCATTTCCAGTTCCAATCAAGTTTGCTGAACTCATCCTTGATCTCTCCCGACGATATCATTGAGCTTCGAATACCCAGCTCTGGAGGTAAGGAACCTTTTCATCAGCCGACGCTAGCTGTTTGCCGGTATATTGAGCTAATGTCTCCCTTCAGGCTCCCGTCGCGCATTCGTACAATTCCAGACAGTCGATCTGGCAGTTAGATTTGTGGACAGGCACTTCCCTGAGCTCGTTGTCGACTCAACGGTCACCAGGAATGCATCCGAGCCCCGCAGACTGATGCTGTACCTTCATTTTGCAAGACCTCGTGATGACGGCGATCGGCGACAGCCCCGTTCTGAGCGTTCTGAGCAGTGGACATGTCCTTCTGTAGGGTTTCCCCGGCCGGATTTACCAAGACGCCAAGTGCTAACCATGGATAGTGTGATTTTTCTAATTTCGCATCCCGGAATCGCTGCAAGGTGTGCGGATTTGCGCAGTCTTCATGTATGTCCTCTCATCAATCTATTCCAAGATTTTCCGTGTCGACTAACGGAACCGCAGCAATATTATCTGGATATACGCACATGTTAACTGGCGAGACCGATGCTTCCAACGATCCATCCCAGTTCCTGGTTATTTATCCCCTAGATGCCTGCGTGACGGAAGAAGTTCTTGAGTTTGGCATAAAGAAGCTTGAAATCGCCGAGAAGCAACCAGCTTCAAAGGATGCAGGCGCTCCGGCTAAGCTCAAGTCAACCGCTCCTACGGGAGACGTAAGTGGCTACGGCGCTCGCCGCGGCTCCCTTCACCGAGTCTTCCTCATTCGCGACAAATCTGACAGTCAATCGCTGAAATATGGATTCGCCGAATTTTGGACCTTGGAGGACGCTGCGGCAGCTTTGACGAAATTTAGGATGTCGCGGAACTTCACTATTGGCGGCGCCTCGGTGAATATCTGCTCAATCCACATGGGTGTTTTTATCCCCGAGCTACAGCAACCCTCGCCACAGGAGGAGAAGTTTTCATTTGTTCCTTTATTTAACCCAGCACTACGCGTAAAGTACTGGGATCCTCGAGTCTTTGCCAACCAGCGCGTGGTAAATGCCGAACCACCTGTCAAGGCCGATCCCGCAGCGGAAGGCGCCTCAGTCTCGACTGAAGCCAAGAAGGCGAAAAAACGGAAGGCTGATGGGAATCTCTCCTCTGGGGTGACGAAGAAGCCGGTTGCCATGGCGGGACAGATGGCCATGTGGCAGAAGAAACATGAGGAATTGCGTACAGATGGTACCGTTGGATCTGGTGATGAGCGGGCTTCGGGCAACGAAGGTGCATCAGAGTCTGGATCGTCTCGGCAGCAAAATCAGCCGTCTAGTACATCCACAATGCCACCAAAGGAAAAGCAGGGACCCATCAAGATATCACTCGGAGGGTTGGCAGTCGCTCCTCCAGCAACCCCAGCCGATGACGGCGCAGGAGCATCGCCAAACAACATGACTACTAAGTCGGAGCCTCCCGTCTCGTACGTAGATCGAGATCGGGTCTGCTGTCTACTCTGCATGATGAAGTACAAGTCCTTAGATGACTTGGACACCCACGAGCGTTCTGGAAATCACAAGAGAGCCATGGCCGACGATGAGAAGGTGAAGGCAGCCATGCCGCGTCTCGGGGCCCGAGATAAGAGGCTTCAGGAACAGGGCAAGGCGAACGACGAAGGAAAGTCGCAGCAGTACCGCGACCGAGCCAAGGAGCGGCGCGAGGCCTTCAACCAACCCAAGAAGCCAACACCCCAGCTAGCGAAGCAAAAGGTGCCAAAACCCGAAGCACCGGCTCCAGCGCCAGCAACAGCACCAGCGCCCTCGAAGGGTTCAGCAATGCTTGCCAAGATGGGCTGGACAGGACAAGGCCTCGGTGCGAACGGTGAGGGTAGGACGGAAATTATCGCTACGAACGCGTATCAGGAGGGTGTTGGTCTCGGCGCGGAGGGTGGGAACCTCGGGGACGCTGCGGAGCTCGCACAGCGGAAGACGAAGAATAGCTATGCGGAGTACTTGACTACGGCGCAGGATAAGGCGAGGGAAAGGTATAATAAGATGAACTAGGCGTTGTGCGCTGGAAACGGCGGCGATCCTCTCGGCGATGTACAATATTCATGACAAATAGAAAAGAACGGGGACAAGTAGACCTCGTTCCCAGGCTCGGATTACATATACAGTCCGTTTAGGCGAACAATGACCTACAAGTTGTTAGCTCCGTGAAATCCAAAGTAGGAATCAAATTACACTTGCCTTCTCGATATATCGGGCTCCGACGAGGATGCCATCCTCATCCTCGAACTCTCGTTGATCACCAAAGTCTTCGTTTTCTGGGTCCAAGCATGTCAAACACGTCTTTACAATATCCGCATATCTATCTCCCATAAACTGCGGGAGCCGAGAGGCAGCGAGAGATAGTAGATGCTCCTTTCCTTGGGTCTGAAGAAACGTGATCAGCTGCGGGCCTCGCAGTTCCGACAAGCCGAGAATAGGAGAAGCATAGGCGCCTCTCTCCTGCGGGTTATCGTTGACGAAGCTGTTCCAGAAGCCGATCTCGAGAAGACAGACGCCCAAGCTGTATATGTCATGCTGCATCACGTAGTCTTTTTGGGGATCAGTCCCTTGTCTCAATGGATGACGGTATAGGTTTCTTTCAAACATGTCATCGCCAAAACGCAGTGTGGGGCCCTGGTCCCTCCGGAAGTTCTCGAATCCGACGAGGAACACGGCCGGAGGCTTGGTTCCGTCAACGGTATCGAAACTAATCACGGACCCCGGGTGGATATTCTTGTGGACGAAGCCGAATGTGTGCACATGGCCTACGGCGTTGGCTAGTGACTTGGCGATGCTGAGACGGAAACTAAGCGACGCTGGGGCTGCGCGATCGAGGAGGAGGTCTCGCAAACTCCGTGGATTTGAGTATTCCGGCGGAAGTTTGAAGACGAGAGTGAAGTCCACGATCGGGTCCGGTTCGGACTTGTCCGACTCTGCGACGAAGCCATGGCAGGCAAGGAGGCCGAAGGTGTCTGGCTCGTTGTGCTGGAGCTTGCGAGCGAGATCTCGGATGTCTTTCATTACGATTTGACATGCGGAGCGGGGCTTGGAGTCGACTCTGTCGAGGATGAATCGCATGAGTTCTCCGGTTGAGCGGATTCTTGTCGCGAGGAGAGCTCCGCATCGTGGGATTTCAGAACTCGTTAGTCTATGGAGTTCTTCGGAGGGGAGCCTAAGGCTTGGTGTGTTGGTTGTATCGGGAGTCTCTGTGCGGAACCCAGCGCGAATTGCAAGAGTTGACGGGATATAAGTCGCCGTGTTTAAGTCGCCTTGAGTCAATGCGGCGTCTATTTTCGGGTCGGTGATTCTCATGAGTAGAAACCATGACATATCCGCAGTCCTCTGCCACGTCTCGAACTCTTCCACTGCTTGTTTAAGACTTCCGTTTGTGAGAGCGTACTTAAACCTCCGTGGAGTATAAATGGGGTTGTCCTCATCATCTATGACATCTTTTTTCTGTTTAAGAAGCCCTTGGAGCAAAGAAATAATCACTTGGAGCTTGCCACAGAGGATACCCAGAGTTCGCTGGTGTATCCTGAGGTGGTCATCTTCCATCAGGTGTTGGACTTTCCGAAGAAAGTTCAGCTGCTGCTCAACACGGATCCATCCGCTTTCAATTCGCAGGACGAATTCCGAAATCTCAGTTTCAGCGCTCTTGAACGATGAGCATACCCTCTTGAGGTGTTTGCCATACCTATGAGATACATTTGTGGTTAGTAGAGATATATCTCCTAGAGAAGAACACGGACTACGGCAGGTAATAAAAATACTTTATACACAGGTCTATAGTGGGAGGAATTGCGAGAATCAGCTCAGCACTCATTGTCGTGTGAAAGTGTGTGAGAGAACGATCACCACACCATTCGCAAGCGACATTCAGCAGTGAGGCGATGTAGAGTGGATGGGAACATCAACCCAAACCCTGCCGTTTCTCACGTCTCTATTTCGACGGGAAATGGGGAATCCTAAAGGAACCAATCAGCGGCCGGTCATACCGATGCATGGGAGCCCAATAGATTCCCCAGCCCGCTCGGGAGTTGGTGGCAGTCGACAGCCCACAGCCTTGGCCGTCCGCAGCCTGCCTAGCCCTGGTCTTTTTCGCATTCTTCTTCTTCTTTTTCTTTTCTCCTCTTTCTCTACAAGTAGGAAAGAAGGAATCTAGGCGCGCTTCACTCACACGTCATACGTTGTGATCTCTCAGAGCTCGACAAGAGCGTATCGCAAATCGACTCCATACGCCACATATTCGGCCAGAAAAATGCTCTTCGACCATGGCGGCGACTTGCCCGGCTTGGTAAAATATTCCAGGCTATCTACTACCTTCGAGCATGATGGAAAGCAAACTTGTATCGTTCATACCTGGCTCATGGGCCAGTGGGTGAGACGAAAAGAGGTATGGGTCCATGAGAGATATCTGGCGCAGGGAGGATCTGGGATTATAATTAGTCTCCAGCGCAAACACCAGGGGATGGGGTCGTCCAGTCAAGACGAGTTTCGAGCAGTCAAGAATATCGTACATATTCCCCAACAGGACCGCGAGTCAAACCTGAAGTTATACAAGCGTGAACTGGAGGCATTGGCCAAGTTCTCTCAGGAGAAGGTCGGTGGATTCTTCATCCCCAAGGTGGCTGGCTAGCTGACTGACAACTACAATCAAGTACGCCGACTATTTTGTCAAATTCCATGGCTGGTATGAAAGTCCTAGCCAGTTTCATATAGCAACCGAATACTGTGAACTTGGCGATCTGCGGGGATACCTCCAACAATGCCGGAACGGTCGTATGCCTGAAGGTCAAGCCCAAGAAGTGGCATCACAGGTCCTGGTTGGCCTGACATGGATGCACCGAGAACAGTTTGCTCATCGAGACGTTAAGCCGGCGGTAGGGTATATATCTATCCACTCATAGTCAGGCCATACTGACGATCTGTCTGACTTTAGAATATCCTCATCGTCAGTCTTCCTCCAGAACCATGGTCGGTTAAGTTGTGCGATTTCTGTCTGAGTAAACGGATCGAAGATGTCACAGGGTGTTCGACCATCAGAGGGACACCAAGTTTCATGCCTCCAGAACTACTGACAGCGCGCAATTTCGATCGCGAACGTATTGACCACTACTCGGCAGATATGTGGTCCTTTGGGGAGACTGTTTTCCAGGCACTGACCGGCACTAATACGTTCACCCTTTCAGAGCTCGTGGAGTACCACAAAGGGCATATCGTGTTTCCCAGGGGAATCCTCCGGGATCTTAGAGTATCCGAAACGGCGGTCGATTTCGTCGCCTCCCTTATGGCGTCGTCGCCATCGACGAGACTCACTGCAGAACAGGCTCGGACACATAGGTGGATGGAATCAACAGCGATGCGGCAGGCGGGAGGTGATTTGGAGGAGTATGGTTTGGTGGAAGGTGGAAATCATGTATATCATGTATATCATGGCCATCGTGAGGAAACCAATCCGTTCACCTTTCTTCCCTCCTTTCCTTTACTGAGAGCATGCTAGACTACCTCCTCGGCACGACAGCAAACATCTCCGCAACAGCCTTGACGGATCCCACCAGCTTCGGCAACGATTCACACTCGAAACTCAACATTCAGCCCTTCCACCCCAGCCCCCATCGCTAGGGGCGCGCCCAGCGTACCCTGAAGTAATAACGCTACCGCCTTCGATGACGGGAACATTCCTAAGTGCGGTAAATGGAAACAGCCGCAAGGGGTGGTCAATGCCGTGGTTATGAATCCATTCGTCCTGGCAATGGGGATGAGGGATCATGATATAACAATAATAATAATAGAAAAGGTGAGTTTATGGTAAAGGAAAGGGTTGGTGGGAACAAGTGAGTGGGACGGAAGGTATGGGCAAGGAGTAGGAAGAGCGCAACACTGTTTGCAGCCACCCTTTTTCTGCCTTTTTTGCTGTTTTTCTCCGGTCTTTTCCTTCCCCTTATTTCTTTCTCTTTTCTTTTTCCTATTTTCAGCCTTTTCCTCTTTGCCCCTAATTGTTAAAGAGGTATTTTACTTGCCATCAGTGATGGAAGTCAATGTCAGTCTTAACATACAGCCTACAGAAGCTTCATTGTCGCTTGAATAGCTCGATCTATCCTCAGATAGCTTCACGCAAGGAATCCAGAACTTGGCCCACTTGCTCCTTGTCACTCGTTCGCCGACCTCCTTCCCGCAGTGGCAATTACTTCGGCCTAGCTAGTTCTCAAAAGCTCTAGCCATGTTCAACTCTCAGGCCATGATATCGAGGGTATCAACAAAGGCAACGGGGAAAAAATGGCGAGCCAGCCCGAGCACATAACCGGGTCGACGGCCTGTTCCCTGGGCTTCTAACTAGAGAAATATTGGAGAGGCCATCGATATCATGAGACCACTTGACAACAAGATTGCAGTTTGAAGTGATGAGAATAGCCTCTTCGAACCCCCTCGTCGCTAGCGGCGCATGGAATAGAGCTCGCTCCGAGGGATCTATGATTTTTAGGTATTATTGAATCCTTTACGGGTGTCTATGTATTCTATTATTATGTGAGATACTATAGTTGAGCTGCTGAGGATCAACTTGACTGATAATGGAGGCCAGCGGAATCGCCAAGGTGTGATCCGTATCGGTATTGTCAAGAAGCAGGTCACTGCCATATTATGGAGACTTCAACGGACACCGTCTTCTAGCAGATGAGAAACAGTATAGGCCCGCCATCCTTTCAAAGATCTTTTAGAATTCCTTGCTCATGTTAATAGTAGGTACGAGGGCAGAGGATATGCCTTCTTCGCCGAGACGTCGTCTCTCAGAGGCCAAGACTGCTTCCGACATCGATCAATGGATGTCATGACCACTTAGACAATCGTGCTTCGCACCCAGTTCTCAAAGGGTAGTCGAGTATATAATATTAAAGCCTTTTTGTAGTTTTGGCATGCTAATTATCCCCGAAGTGGTAATCCGGCATCCCTCACACCAAAACGACCCAGAGATTCCCCAGACTGTGACGGCTTTTATGATTGACAATTTAATTTAACAGGATGCAATGTGGTCGCTAACTGCAAATGATTTACCACCTGTAATTTTGGAAGCGAAAAGATGAAACGATGACTGCGGGTAAGAGAAAGTGAGAGAAAGTGAGAGATAGCATCTTCATGTTAAAGCTCAAGCAATGTGTAACGGGTTCCGGATCTTATAAATGCTTGCCTCGGCCTCATTATTTCCTTTCCCAAAAAGTCCCAGATAGCTTCCCATCATGAAGATCACCGATGCGCGTAGAGACAGCTCCTTTTAAACTCCCATACTAGCGGTGATGGCTTCTCATCGAGCAAGCTCCACAACGGGGCTCGTCCTCCTCCTCGCAAGCCTCACACCTCACTTAACCCTCGCCGAGCCCATTCCAGGAGGACCCAAATGCCTCTGGAACCCTGCCGGCCCACTTCACAGTCGCGAGAGAACATCGTGCCCTTTGGCCGTAGACGACACGAGCCCGCCCTCGGCGCTGGACGCATCCCCGTGGCTCCAGCCGCTGAAATGCCGCCACTCCAGAACCCAATCCGGCCGCTCGTCGTCAATAGTGGAGACGAGCACGAACGGCGAAGCTGTCCGCTGCGTGTATTCCACCCACGATTTCCGTGGAGCGGGTCTCAGCCTGGTTACGCGGCCGGAGACGGCGGCTAATATCGTCGGGCTTGGCGGACTCGACGATCTCGAGGCTTCGCCGATGTCTTTAGAGCGGGTTTATGGACGATTTTCGACGGGGCCCAGTATTTCGAAGTCGGGCCGTCCGGCTTATGCGGTGGAGGACCTACCGGGGAAGGGGAAGGGCGTCATCGCGAGGCGGCGCATTGTTAAGGGGGAAGTGTTTATGGTGGATTATCCTGCGTTGCTGGTGGAGGCTGGCATGATGAGCGAGCTGACGCCGGGGATGAGGAAGGGGGTCGTGAAGCTTGCGTTTGAGAATTTACCGAGGGAGACGGGGGCGGAGGTGTTGGATCTGGCGAAAAGTACTGGCGGCGACGAGGTCCTCGATGCTTTTACGACGAACTCTTGTAACGTGTTCATGGCGGATGGGGAAGCGCATCTAGGGCTCTTTCCAGAGGTTTCGGTGAGTTTGCTCCTTTTCTTGTATTGTGAGGCCGCATCTACTCGGAAATAATTAGAAGAAATCAGCTTCTATGTAAAGGTATAGACGGGAGCGAGGGACGAAGTTCTAATCTCTCTTTCTAAATAGCGAATGAACCACGCCTGCGAGCCAAAGTAAGTGGGCGCATTCATAGCTGAGCGAGAAGTCTGTCTGGCTAACACCAAATATCGCAGTGCGTTCTACCGATTTTCGCCTCGCAGTTTAACGGTAGAGGTAGCAGCCTACCGTGATATTGAGCCCGGAGAAGAGATTAACATCAACTGTACGAGGCATTCTACATAAAATCTCATAATATCTGGGATAGCCCCTTCTGTGCTAACATCTCCTTCACAAATACTCACGCTAGACGCCTATCTCGGCATGCCCTACAAAGAGCGTCGAAAATACCTGCAAGACTCGTGGAACTTCAACTGTACCTGCCACCTCTGTCTCGCAGACACCGCAACGCGCGAGGGGTCCGATGCGCGTCGCATGGCCATTGCCAATACGCGCAACGCGCTCACCGACGCGCAAAAAGCCGGTCGGCACGGCGAGGCGATCGAGAAGGCGGGCGAGCTCGTGGGGCTCTGCGAAGAGGAAGGGCTGTTCCCATTGGTAGCGGGATTCTACGACTCCATGGCCCGGGGGTACCTCGAGATAGGCGACGTCGAAGATGCGCAGGTCTATGCCGAGTTAGCTCTCGGCGGGTGGCTAGAGTACTACGGCGAGGACAGCGTCAAGGTCGAAGGCGGATTAGAGTTGTTGGATGCCATCGGCAGGAGGCGGGACAAACAAGGTTAGGGGATAAGGTTTAGTGGGTGATGAAAAGGTCTGGCTGTGGTGACGTTTTAAGGGTTGGAGGGTGGGCGAGGTGTGGTGGAAATGGCATGTAAGAGGTGGTTAATGATTCGCGTGGGACGAATGGCGTTGTGGCGTGGCTTGTTTGGCTCGCTTGGTGGTGGGCGGGAGCGACGTGTGGTCCTGTCTCGTGCCTCTTTTTAACCTTTTAAGTTGTCTAAATGTGTAGACGATGACATTATCATATCGTGCAGCCTTTCCTACGTTTGTTTCAACCGTGGCTCGAGGTTCATCGTATGATGGCTTGTCACCGCCCAGTGCCAACCCTCGTGTGGTGATGTGGAATCCTTCCTCTTCCTCACCGACAAGTTGAAGATGAAGCGGAGAAGGGTTCTGTCTCAGATGTCTCGAACTTTGTTGCTCAATGATGGCTTAGCTAATACTAATAAAGTGAGAGCCAACGTCCTCGTCTGCGTCTTGGACAGCCAAAAACTGGACCTAAACCATGAAAGGACTGACGCAAGCAGGAACCGGAAAGACACCTTCGCCTGCTTCGTAGTTCGTACCATCTTCGGCTCGCACGACTTGACAGATCCCCGCTTGCCAGGGTCAACGCGCCAGTCGAGGCGAAGATCAACAATTAGTGTTCAATAGTGCAAAGATTGTAGTGTTGTACTTGTAGCGTAGCCACTGCGCTATACAACTACCCCGCAAAACTTACACAACAACAACGGCAAGAGCATCCGGGTTATTGCTCACGTATGGAACTTTATGATGTCGAGTGGGTGGTACTTGTCGTGTTTGGAATGATTCCTCACAAATGGGCTGCCTCACTCGGACTAAACTGTCTCCTTGCTTCCCTCGCTACCTTCCGCTCTTTGCTAGGGTGGGAAAGGAGCGAGGTACACGACGTCGTGCATCCTGCATCAAACCCACGTTGGGCAACTCGTTCCTTCCAGATTTCGTACGTTTACACTACGCCGCGCTACTGCCCCGAGAAGCCAGTCTGGCTCGGATTTTGTTCGTCTCCACTTCCAAGAAGCTTTGAGCGCAACGTTGTGGCCTTGGTAGACTTTGTCCCTTATTTGACTCGTGCAGGAAGTCTCGCCCCGCCAAGATCTTGATTCCTTCGTTGCTTGCGAATGCCCGGTTTCGCACGACGTCCATGTTAGTCCCTCCACTAAACCTGCCTTGTTGCGAACTTATCGCGCAATCCAGTCTCGGCGAGAAAGACTCAACTGCAATGTGGAGGATCTTGGTCGATGCCAACCCCTCCAAGCCTCCATATCCCAACCACCTTCACATGTTGCTGATAGTGCTCGTCATTTGATCCCTCCCGCGATACGCCCGGCTGCCCAGCCAGAATCCCGATTCCCGAACACGGGGCTGTCAGAAATTCCCATTATCAGCTCTGGAGTACCACGCGCACCACCTCACCACCAAATATATTCCCATTTTCCCGTTCTCAAGTCCACCCACTCTCTGCATCCTCGTCCCCCCCGAACGTTGCCCTACACCACCTTATCTGTCAGTCCCCTTACTTCTACCATGCTTCTACCACCATACCCGCCCCCATTCTAGTTCAAACCTAGTGTCGTGACGCTTCCCCCACCTGCCTTGGCACCCTATCAATAGTCTCCCCTCCCCTCCATCATCCTTTGGTAACACTAACCCTCAAAAGCATTCCACCGCCAACGCATGCAGGTCGCAGGAGAAGCCGGGTTGCATCTTTAACTGGCTCGCCGAACTTGCCCGTCTATTTCTTGTTTCTTCCCCCATCCGTCCCACTAACTCACTTTGTACGAAGAGGCTTTGTACCCACCAGACCGGATGCGTACACTAGAAAGCACGGTCTTCGAGATGCAGCTTAGCTTCAGAGAGGGGCGTAACTCCGTAGTGTAGTTGGGGCGTTAGAATCGCTATATTTCATCTGACTTGCGTCTGCCAAGGAACTCCAACAGCACTGCCCTGGATCCTTCTTAGCCCACACCGTGTTCCTCACAAAAACTGTCGTGAAAGACCAGCTGAAAGCAGCAAGAACCGCAGCCAGTGGTACGTTTGCCACGACAACTGTCGATATATACTCACATACTATTTGACCACCTCCCAACCTTGACTTCTCTCCTCGGAGGAAACATAAAGTTGCTCAACCTTTTTTATTTTATTTTTTTTGTACCCCTTCTTCTCTTTGGTTTCCTTTTTTTTTATGTTTCCTACTACTGTTTTCTTTTCCTTTGCCTATGTTCCATTTACTTCAACGTGACAACACTGAAACCTGCTTTTGATAACTGGACTTGCCAAATCACTGCATCCACCGCACTTTCCCTCTATGTCTCGCGTCCAAGGACAACATCACAAAACGGATAAATAATCCCGAACTCCCACTTACTCACAAACGTGCCGTTGTTTTCCCATTGTTCCTGCCTCATTCTAAACTTCTCCTCTCGGCCTTCTTGTCGAGAGATTTAAATGGTGATTTCTGCTCGCGTGCTTCCCATCGCTGCTCTTTTTCTCCTGTCATCTTTCTCTACCCCGCCTCACCTATCAACATCAGCATTCTGCCTGCCCGGCATCTTTTTCAGCCGCCCTTGACAACCATGACTGCCTTCGCAGGCCCAAGACATCTGGCGACCGGAGTCGATACCTTGACGGCGGAGGACTTCGAAACTGCATCTATCCGCTCCGCAGCGCCGTCGTATGGTTAGTATATTCCCGAACCGTGTAAATGCTCTCACTCAGAGAGACTTGACCGCCCCTCGCCAGCTGGCAGTGTGACCCCGTTGCACTTTGAACCGACTGCGATTTATTGAGGTCATAGCATCATCACCACACTTTCCGCTTTACCCCAGACGCCGCCGATCCATAAATTCTAAATATAGTTTACTGACGTTTATTTCATTTTGCCCCCGCGGTTAGTCTCTGAAGCTCCCTCCTACCATTCTACCGTGCCAATAACCGAGAGCGCCCCTCCATACTCGGCGGCGGTAGCCGATTCCTCCCGCAATCTCACTAGCTCCCACCATGGAGCCACCTCCAACCACCAACCCCAGCGCCGGGGTCTTCCCCCCGTACCGACGACACCCCTGCCGATGCCGAGCCTAAACGCCTTCAGCATCCCGACCTGGTCTACCTTCTCTGCCAACCCCACGACCCGCCACTACCACAGCGTGGCCCAACGCCGCGTCGCCGCCGCCAACTCCCGCGTCGGATCCTCCATCAACCGCCAGTTCATGCTTGACCGCGTCACCGAGGAGCTGCAGCATGAGTCGCACGCCAGACCCGGCTCCGGCATGAGCAGGACCAACAGCGGAAGCGGCCTGAGCGGCGTTGAGAGTTTCTTCCGTAGCAGCGACGGCCGGCCGCATGAGGATCCGAATCTAGTAGGCGAGGAGGCTGCGAGGACGGCGAGGGCTGAGAGGCTGGCGAGAGAGAGGGAGGCGGCGCTTATTGGCGAGAGTCGGCGTTGGGATTTGTACCTCTGTAAGTGATCTTGGAGGCTTGTGTGGCTTCCCAATCTTCCTCTGTTAAGGTTAAAGGCTAATTGTTTTGGTGTGGTTCAGCTCAAATGAATGATTGGCAACAACGCGAAAGGTCCTGGTCCCGGTTCCGAAGGCCAATGGACAGGGACGAGCGCAAGGGCTTCATGAGGCGCATCAGTGGTCGTCTTTTCTAAGCATTTGATATGTGTTTTTCAAGCCACACGGAATGGCTTAAGAAATGAATTTCTATCTCATTCAGTCGGGTTCGGTCTCGGCGTCCATGGTTCGAATTTTTCTTTTCTCTCAGGGTTCTTGTTTCATTTTTGATGGTTCACATCCGAGGAATCATTCACCTCTTTATGTCAAGTCAGTTTAGCCATAGTTCCTCACTCACTCTGCTTCTTCGAGGGTCCTCATCTGCATTTCGTCGTTTCACGGCAACGGAAAGGGGAGGAAAGGCCCTGTATTATGCCAAGTCGTCGCTCTGGAGATAGGTTTTTAAGACAACAAGTTTGGAAGGAAATGAATAACCCTAAAAAAAAATCTCAATGCCCGTTCCGCAGTGACGCCGTTAGATGTTCCCCTAGTACAAAAAAATAGTGGTAACAGGGAGGAGACTGGAGACCTAGACCCCTCGCATGGTTGGATGAACCCGCCCAATCTTTTCTTTTGCCAAAATGTAATGATTATAAGTATGCTTTGGTTCCCACTGGAGACCATATGCGTAGCGGGGAAGAGCGTTTCCCCGCAGCAGGTTTTCTCGTACTCTGACATTCCGATGAAGGTATCAACCCTTGCTCTTCGTGTTGAGGATAAGAGCGACGATGAGCCTTTTTGAAAAACATGTTAGCTCACCACCCGCATAGAAAGAACACATAAAGGAAGGAAACAACAGGGCTAGCCGGGGCGTTTGAGTTGAGGGTTGACCATACCCGTATAGACCCAAGACTTCGCCGAAAATGAGAATGAGAACCATCCCGACAAAGACCCTACCCTCTTCCATATAAGCCCGGACACCCTTGTCACCAACCTTGCCGATGGTGTAACCAGCCGCGAGACCTGTTAAACCGACGGAAAGGCCCGCGGCGAGGTGCATGAAACCGCTAAATTTTTTGTCGCAAGTTAGCATCAGATAAAGAGCTTTCCCCGAAGTTGTTTGTCCCACTTCAGGGTATAGGTTTCTCCTGAAAAGAGAGGACTTCGGCCACGCGGGGACGTACTTGAAGAGACTGTAGTTTGCTTGGGATGGGGGGTTGAGATCTTGGGCGATGAGGACGGCGATGACGAGGGCGTAGACTGCGATGATACCGGCCATGACGACGGGGACGAGACACTAGATTTGTAACGAATTCCTTTGAGCAAACTCGCGCTTAATCGGGAAGGGTGAAAGCTTCGATTCCAGCTCAAGGGTTTCTGTTTACCTTCATGATGAGGTCTGGTCTAAATGTACCGACACCGACGATACCGATTCCGGACTTTGCTGTGCCGTAGGCGGCGCCGATGGCTAGAAACAAGGACATTGTGTGTTAGCTGACGGTTCGAAGTCGTTGGAGCAACATCGTTGCTTGCAAGGTGAAGCTGCTCTTGCGCTTCTCTCGGTGACGAGGGCTAGGTGCGGGCGGGGGATAGTCGTACTGCCAAAAGTCATGGCTGCGGCGATACCGGCCTATACATAGCATCATCTATTGTTAGCCCAGACTTCCGGATTGACCATATCGCAACGCTCTCAAGTCGAGGTTGACAAGAAAGCAGGACTAGCTTTGAGGGTCAGAGGAGGGATTTGGATGACCATACCATGCCCACGAAGGGCGCGAACTTGGGGGCCATCTCTGAGTCCGCCATCGTGTACTATCTTGAATCCGGATTTGGAGGGAGCTGACACGATCGGGGCGGGAAGAGGTTCGGGGGTGGTGGATTCAGCAACGAAGAGAGCTGGATGGATCGCGGAGTGCTGTTACCGGATGCCTGGTGTCATTGAAGCTTGGTTCCAAGTTTGGATCTGCCGCGTGAGTACGTAAGCAAGATTTCCCTGCAGCTTTCCAATGATGAATCGCCTGGGAGCGTGGAGGTGTCCTCTTCACGTGATGCACGGGTTGTTCGGCAGGTTTCAGGGTCAAGGAGTGAGGTCACCACTGCAGGTGGAAGTGAAGGAACTCGTATGCTCCAATTTCCAAGCTAAATGGGTTTGAGGTTTCATGCTGAACCCTCTTAATTTTCCTGTGAAAGGCTGGCTCTCTGAGGCTAGATCAGGGGAAATACATGGCTCTCGAATCTAGGTATTAGCTGTTCTTATTTCTAAACGCGTTTTTTTTTTCTTTCTTTAAGTTCCTATATCCTTATCTGCGTGGTTGTCTCTTGGAGGTTTGTTTTCTATATATCGAAGATCATCGGGTAATTGCAAGTCATTGATTGACATAGTCGATGTATTTGTATCTTCACTGTTGGGAATAGGATACGGTCGAAACAATCGAAGGGCTTCGAACAAGGCCATCTCCGAGTAATTGCATCCCCGGAGGATTCCAATAGACCAAGTAGGTGCGCTATCGTACATCAAAGATTCCCATTTCCACGCCTAAACTCTCTGTATTCCGTGCTTCATACATTTGACGTCGTCTTCGCCCGTAGATGAGTATATATGTCTTTGGACGTCACTGTCAAATTAATTGCATTAGACACTGCTACGCTACTGCGGGTCCAGGGTGCTCCTTTATATAGCACGGTTGAGGCGGTGGCAGCCTCTCTGTGCCTTATCGAAGCCTGGCCTGGCCTGGCGCACCGTCTCACCACAGCCCTGAACGCAACTCGCAGTTCTGAGCCAGGGCCCACGCCCCTAAATTCAAAGCCTAGCCAACCAACCAAAACGCCGGACCCGGTCACTGTGCAGTAAACCAGTTCGGCGTCCAGTCAACTTTGAAGAGATTGAGGGGCCAAGCCGATCGTGACCCTTCCAGACTTTTTGGAATCTTCAATAAACTCAATTTCCACTTCCTCCAAACGTCGGATCACACTGCAGGCTCTTTTTGCCCTTGGCCGGTCCATTGCCCTCCATCAATCCTCGCCAACCCTCAACCTCTCTCCCTTCGCCCATCGACGCCGACCGACGCCTTCGTGGCCTCCCCCATTCCCTTCCCCGAACAGACGAGTCAGGGTCAGCAGCTACCCCCCGAATCTGCTGTCAGGTCGATCCTTCTGCGCGCCCAAAAAAAAAAAAACGAGCGAAACGGGGGGAAATCTCTCCTGGCCCAAGCCCAGGCACAATAACGTCACCTCCCAAATCGAGGGAGACCCAAGGGGAAGAGAATACAAAAATATTCCCCCCTAGCCGCGAACCACCCTTTTCTTGCGGTGATCAATTCACAACCCAAATTCGAAATTCGAGTCAAACGAATATTGTATCTGGAAATAACTCTGGCGGGAAGTCTGGCTTTCCAAAGCGAGTTGTATCACCAGGTTTGGGGCAGCTAGCCAGGCCACAGCTGCCCTTGCTCCCTCCTCAATCCGGGCCTTTGGCAGACCTAATCTAAAGGTATGGGATCATTCCCCTAGGCTATCCAACCATTTTCTTAGTCTTGGCTCCCTCATCGATTCCTGCCCCTTTGGCTTTTCTTTCTGTCCTCCATCTTCCTCCCTTTGACAATAGGCCTCGAGTCTCCTTTTCTTTACTTTTTTCTTCTTCTTTTTGTTTGTCCCTTTTCTTTCCTTCTACCTGTCCTATTACTCTTCACCTCTTTTCCAGCCATCATCCCCCCTTGCCTGCAAATTATCGCACCGGGGCCCGAGTGGCGTTTGATATGTGCCAACCATTTCGAGTCTAGAAGGAACCAAGATGCTGATTTTCTCTCCCTGTTCCTGACAACCGTAGACCAACCATGGCCGATTACCACCATCCTTCCGATCGAGGTCCGCCGCATCGTCCCCGGGAATATGGAGGAAACTCATCGGCCAATTACCAGCGGGAGGCTGCCTTCTCGAACATCTTCGGCGCCGCCCCTCCCCCCGGTCGATCGCATACCATGACCTCCTCCGTCGCTCCGCCCCAGATGATGTCCGCCGATGATAGAACCCATACGATGACGTCTACATATTCGACCATGTCTGGCGGCAGACCTGAGATACACCGACAGCCTCCTCCCCGCCCGCCCCATCCCTCCCAATATGCCGACCAACAGCATCGGATGTATCCCCCTGACCAAGTGTCTGGTGGTTACTATCCTCCTCCTCCCCGATCGGTCTCAGGGGGCCATCAAGTCCCTTCCCCCCAAGCTCTCCAATACATGCAACAACGGAGGCCTCCGCCCCAAGGAGTCCCCCCTCCCAGGTTCGAATCGAGACCCGGTCCTCCTCAGGGGTATGGTCCTCCTAGGGCTGCGACACAGCGGTTCCATCCCGGCGGGGGGCCTCCGATGCCGGGGATGAACGGTGACCCTTATCGAACCCAGTCTCTGGCCTCGTCTTCGCGACAGCAGATGTACCATCCTCCTCCCGCGTCCTACCAGTCTCACGCCAATCCCTCTCGATATAATGCCTATAATCCAAACTCGGCGAGGACCACGGCCCAGGGCCGAGTCGTTCCGGAACGCGGCGATGATCGCTCCATGTCCATGACGGGTTATCACCCTCAAGATAGGGATGCTCACCAAACGATGAGTGGGCGGGTGATTCCAAACCGAAGGTTTCCGTCTGACCCTCAGGGCAACGGCTACATGTCCGTGGGTGGTGGAGGCCACGGCGGATATGCCGCACCTGGATCTCAAACCAGGACGGCTAGCATGGCCTCGTCATCCGGTTATGACAACAATAGGACTATGTCCATGGCGTCGACTGTAGCGCCCACCATAACACCGTCCGAGGCGGATACAGTCATTGCGACCACACCGACGCGGACTTCTACTTCTTCCACGCCAACCGCCCCTTCTCAACCACAGCACCAGCACAGCCGATCATCCGCTAGCAAGTCCATTGATAGCGAACGTCCCCCCACGGCGAAGATCCGAGCCCCTCTCGTTTACCCAGCCCTCCTCTCCCGAGTTGCCGAATGCTTCCGACGAAAGATCATGGTTGGGGACCGAACGAAGAACGAACTTACATATAAGAATGCCTTCAGCGGTGCTGAGGCTGTAGATGTCTTGTCCTATATTATCAGAACGACCGATCGCAACCTCGCGCTCCTGCTCGGTCGCTCCCTCGACGCGCAAAAGTTCTTCCACGACGTTACGTACGAGCACCGACTCCGAGATTCGTCTAATGAAATCTACCAGTTCCGAGAGACCTTGATGGAAGAGCCCGAGGATAAGCCTCCAGTGAATGGTGTTTTTGTCCTTCTGTCGGAGTGCTACTCGCCTACGTGTACACGAGATCAACTGTGCTATTCGATCGCCTGCCCTAGGAGACTGGAGCAAGTTTCTAGGTTGAACCTCAAGATCCAGCCCGGTCTGAGGAAGGACCATGCCAACCTGGATGACGTGGATCAAACGGACGAGCAGAAGTTATGGATCAACTCGGTGCCCAAGGAGATTGCCGAGAGCGTGGGAGAGCGGGAGAAGAAGAGGCAGGAGGTTATTTCCGAGATTTGCTACACGGAGCGAGACTTCGTCAAGGACCTGGAGTATCTCCGCGACTTCTGGATTGCTCCATTGCGGTCCAAGGTGTCTCCTATTCCGATCGCTCGCCGTGATAAGGTGGTGAAACTCATCTTCAGCAACATCATCGACCATCCCAGTCTTCACACGGTCAGTTCCCGCTTCGCCAAGGCTCTGACGGAGAGGCAACAAAAGAACCCCGTCGTACGCAATATCGCCGACATCTTCCTCGAGTTTGTCCCGTACTTCGAGCCTTTCATCGTGTACGGCTCGAGACAGCTGGAGGCTAAGTTCGAGTTTGAGAATGAGCGGTCATGTAACACGTACTTTGCCAAATTCGTCGACGAGATCGAGAGGAGGAAGGAGTCGAGGAAGCTAGAGCTCAACGGTTACCTGACGAAACCCACGACCAGGTTGGCGCGTTATCCGCTACTTCTGGAGAACGTGCTTAAGTACACGGAGCCGGACAACCCGGATAAGGACGACATCCCCAAGGTGCTGACGATGATTCGAGACCTTCTCAGCCGTGTTAACAAGGAATCCGGAAAGGCCGAGAATCGCTTCAACCTGCGACGTCTCCATGAACAACTCCGGTTCCGGCCGAACGAGAAGGTCGACCTTCGGCTTACCGAGGAAGGGCGCGAACTTGTGTTTAAGAGCCAGTTTAAGAAGTCGCCTACTGACCCTACGGAGATTACGGCGTTTTTGTTCGACCATGCCGTGTTACTGGTGCGCATCAAGCAGGCTGGCAAGGGCGAGGAGATCAAGGCGTATCGAAGGGTAAGCAGAACTCTCCCTAGTTCTTGTCATTTAATCATGTTGCAATTTATCAACTAACGAAAACCAATGTGATAGCCAATTCCATTGGAGCTCCTGGACATCAAGGAAATGGATGAAGTCATCCCGCAGCAGGGCGCCGTCAAGCGCTCCTCTTCGAGCTTGATACCGTCGATACGAACCAACAATACGGACTCCAAGAAGGGAGAAGGCTGGCCCATCACATTCCGCCATCTCGGCAAGAATGGCTACGAGCTTACACTCTATGCCTCGAACCAGGCAGCGCGTAAGAAGTGGCTCGAGTATATCGACAACTCGCAACAACGGCTGCGGGCTCGTGCCGACTTCTTTAACACGGCGGATGTCTCGAGCGGTTACTTTGTGGCCACGAACCAGGTCAACTGTGTTACGCCGTTTGGTAAGTTTTCTCCCACATACGGCGCTTAGGCGTCGCGTAGGAAACACAGTCTATTTAGTAACTAACATGAAATTTTTGTAGATGGCTCAAGGAAGCTCATTATCGGCACGAATAACGGTATCTACGTATTAGACCGCAGGGCCGGGGATGCTGCTCCTAAGAGGGTGCTAGAAGTGCCGAGCGTGACACAGGTTGAGATCCTGGAGGAATACCAGCTTCTCCTTGTTTTGTCGAACAAGTCTCTCCTCTCGTACAGCCTCTCAGCTCTCGACCCCAACGAGCCGGCGCTCGCGAGGCGGCCCAAGAAGATTCAGAGCCACTGCAACTTTTTCAAGGCGGGCATCTGCCTGGGACGGCACCTCGTGTGCGTTGTCAAGTCCTCGGCGCTGTCGACCACGGTCAAGGTCTACGAGCCCAACGACGCGATGGCGAAGACGAAGAAGCAGAAGGGTCTCGGGAAGATGTTTGGCGGCGGCCAAGACGAGCTACGGCCATTCAAGGAGTGCTACATCCCCGCCGAATCGTCGTCGATACACTTCCTCAAGTCCAAGCTATGCGTGGCCTGCCCCAAGGGCTTCGAGGTCGTCTCGCTGGAGACGCTGGAGACGCAGTCCCTCCTCGACCAGGCCGACACGTCTCTCGACTTTGTGGCCCGCAAGGAAGGCGTCAGGCCCATCCACATCGAGCGTCTCAACGGAGAGTTCTTGCTCAACTACTCGGAGTTCTCGTTCTTCGTCAACAAACACGGTTGGCGAGCGAGGCCGGAGTGGAGGATCGACTGGGAGGGATCGCCGCAGAGCTTTGCGCTCAGCTATCCCTGGATCCTCGGTTTCGAGCCCAATTTTATTGAGCTTAGGGATATTGAGAGCGGTGCGGTGCATATTGTGCCTCACAAGAATATTAGGATGCTTCACAGCAGCACTCATGAAGTGAGTTTCTTCACCATCTTCTTCTATTGTTGGATCCGGCAGGAGCGTTACTAACTGACATCTTCCCCACAGATTTTGTTTGCATACGAAGACGAGAGGGGTGGGGATATCATCGAATCAATTGACTTCTGGAAGAGTAATAATAGACGGTCAGAACTCCTGCCGGTACCTGGCTCGCCATAGAGTTCGGACAATGCTCCGACTCTGCTCGGCAAGCTCGGATGGGGGGAAACGTGAGAAGGTGGAGGAGGAACCAAGGCCCCGTGGCGCCATGTGTGTTTTCCTCGTCCAGTTTCTTCTTGTTCTTTTTTTCAAATGTTCCATGTGTATTAGTTGGGAAATGAAATAATGGGCCCGTGTTTTGAACGTGGAGGACATACTTTTTTCTCGAGGCTTTCTTCTTCTTTTAAACAAGGTTCCCCCCATCCTGGAGCCCAGTTTTTAAATATGTTTTTCTTTCCTCTATTCTCGTGTCCGATGCATCCCTCTTGTTCTTGTTTAAGGTTATTTTATTCTGGCCTTTGTTTTCCGCTCGCGTGGTTTATCAGCTCGAGACTCTTTTTACTTATGAATTTCCTCGGGAGATGGAGGTCTTTCTATTTTTTTCAACCTCTCTCCACATTGTAGTGCGTCCATCATCGAATGAGCTTGAGAAATAATGCATCCCGTCACATTCACATTGCGTATTCTGAAAAGAGATTTCATTTCAATGCACTTGAGTTTGAGTGGTGAAATACGAGTTTGTGAGAGCGAGACGAGGAAATGTCCTGTGTATATATCACATTACAGACAACATTAGAAGTTGAAAAGGATTTGATCCGTTTGGTGGACCGGTGAGTGTATGATATCAGAGCCTGGCCACGTTGACAGTCTGCTCTCACCATTGCTGCATTGCTTTGGTCTGATTATATCGGTGAGCGTTCTCGCTTGAGGCTTTACTGGCAAGGTTACACATGTTGTAGGAAGGAGGAAGCAGAAGGCGGTGATGAATTACGTGGGGGAACTGTGAAGGAAAGGGGAAAAACCCAGGATATCTGAGCAGTATTAATATTTAACGAGAGTTATCGAGTGGAAATGATAGGCGGTTCTTCTTTGTACCAGCCGCGTTCCAGTGATCGGGTGCCGGAATATCCTGGGGAAACCGCGGAGATACGGGTACCTTTGCCGGGGCGTGACGCGGTGAAGAAGTGTCGAGTTCATACCGGCCGACCCAACTTGTCGACGCTCACATTACCAATCTGACAAACCTCGATAACTGAGTACCCATCAAGACATCAACGGAGCCAGCAAAGTACTCGAGGATTAGCTTTGAGCGCTGCTTACTCTATGACAAGTGCTGCGCTACGCTTGTTCGGCAGCCGGCACGAACTATAAAGCATGACCGGTTTTGGTACGTCAAAAACCTGTACTTTCCAAGATTGTGGTGCGCATGCAGTACTTCGTAGGATGGGGAAAAGGTTCAACGTTCTCTTCCGTCATAGCCTGGATATTCGGTAGCAGCCGCGATGACGCAGTCTCACAGTGCGTGTTCTTCAGAAGCTTCATGTGGGGGAGGAAAAAGAAAAAAAGAGGAAAAAAAGAGAAAACTAAAGAGAAAACTTAGAAGGCGCCTACTGTACTACTTCGTACCTCCTCTCAGCGATAAGGCTATCTGTCTATGACCCCACCGTATTTAATTGATCTGCAAAAAGACGTTGGAACCGTTCATGCTGAACAGTAGTTTAGTGAGAGCAAAAATGCTCGGTGAGGCAAGAGCTACTCGATGAGTCTGGTCGTTTGGGGAATGAGCACCCGAAGCCGCCACAGTCCCGGAGAGGGGCGGCAAGAGTCCCCGAGGGTGTCTATCAATTCCAGGGAAGGAAGGTGTCTCTGTCTTGCGGGAGAGGATGTGTTTCCCCAGCTTATCGCGGCTTACTTCGTAGGAGATGTTCATCTAACTGTCGAACCAGATGATCGGTTTTCTCCTTGCTTTTGTTGGATCTGGTCGGTGTAAGTGCATTCGAATCTTGGATGTTAAAGTTCGCTTTACGTCAGAGTCTCCTCCACCACTCCCTGATTCAGGCACACAAAATGCGAAGTTCGTCCGGCGTCGGTGACATCGCATAGCAGGATTTCAGTCTTCTCAAAAAACCTGTGGAACCCGTGCCATTTCATGCTGTCGGCGACGATCTTAGCCTCACTCACCTGAACGATCTAACAAATTCTACACGACACTAGCGCATTGATGCCACCAGCCTATGCACTTTACTTCGTAGTGTCATTGCCAATCCGTGCCCACCGGCAGCGACCAAGCAGGTTCTGGTCTTCGCTTCTGCCCCTCCCCCCCCGTTCTATTCTATCCCATCCCTGTTGCCAAGACGTATCATCTTCCACCCCCCACATAGTTTGTTCTATTGTTCTATATTCTTCTCCCCTCGCCCACCAACCTGCTGTCGACCCCTCCAAGGTCACAAAACTTTCCCTTCGGAAACCTGTCGCATCGAGCTTTCCACTCGACTTGCTGGTTTGTCTGCCTTCCAGCCTTAACACCCAACCCGTTTCTTTCGAAGCGGCCCATTACCGAAATACTGGGAGAGGATAAATGAACCCAGAATCCACTCATCTCTCTTAGCGGCATCTCACCATCGAGCTCCTCCTGGCCGCTCATAACCGGTCCTTTCAGCTTTGGATCTTATTTCTGGCCCGCGCAACTCACTTATTTTCAACCTCGTTGTTACCCAAGAAGGGGCCATCGACGTCTGACAACCCGATCAGCTTCACTCCGCCGTCAGTACTGGCACCATGGACAAGCCGAAGACAGAGCCACTCAAGAACCGTGCCGCGGCCTCTAAGAGTCCCTATGTCTCGGCACAGGCCAACAGCCGCGTCGCCTGGCAGCTGCTAGACGATGAGGCTGTTTCCAGAGCCAAGGCTGAGAATAAGATGGTCTTCTTAAACATCGGTTATAGTGCATGCCATTGTAAGTAAGACCTCCTGCGCCTTCCTTGAACTGAGCTCTCTTTCACCCGTGAACTTATGGGTCTAAACGTCGTCTCGACTATCGTTGTCCCCTTGGAGATGCAGAGGGAGCTGACTTTCTACCTTTATTGTCTAGACTGCCGCCTAATGATGACCGAAGCTTTCGCACACCCCCAGTGTGCTGAGTTGTTGAACTCTTATTTCATTCCTGTCATTGTCGACCGAGAGGAGCGTCCAGACGTCGATACCATTTACATGAACTACGTGCAGGCCGTAAACGGAGCCGGCGGCTGGCCTCTCAACCTCTTCCTCACCCCTGAGCTTGCGCCGGTATTTGGGGGTACTTATTGGCCTGGTCCTGGCCCAGGCACGGACTCGGACTCGGGAAGCATAGAGACTGAAGGCGAGGATGGCCTGGACTTCCTGATCATACTCAAGAAGCTCAGGAAAGTTTGGTTGGAGCAGGAGACAAGGTGCCGTACGGAGGCCAAGGACGTGTTAGCGCAGCTTCGCGAGTTTGCTGCAGAGGGAACCCTTGGTCGCACAATCGAACACAGGGCATCGTTCCCCGCCATCATGGCCCCGCCAAGCGCTGCTCTCGGTATGCACGTGGAGGCTGCGTTAGCTGCCTCCTCACAACCTGATGATTCGACTGAACTCGATATCGATCAACTTGAGGAGGCTTACAGGCATATTGCCGGCACGTTTGACCCCATATACGGCGGTTTTGGCATCGCCCCCAAGTTCCCGACCCCGGCGAAATTGTTGTTCCTGCTTAAGCTTTCGCAGCTACCCACTGAGGTTCAGGACGTCGTCGGGTCAACCCAGTGCGCTCATGCTCGCGAGATGGCACTCTTCACCCTCCGTAAAATCCGCGACGGCGCATTGCGCGACCATGTCGGCGGCCAGGGTCTTGCCCGGTACTCGGTCACGTCCGACTGGAGTATCCCCCACTTTGAAAAGTTAGTAGTCGACAATGCGCTTCTACTGTCCGCCTTCCTCGACGCATGGCTTAGTTCTGGCTTGTCTAAGCAGGATGAGTTTTTCGAGATTGTGATTGAGCTGGCCGAGTACTTATCGAGCGCGCCGATTTCCCTGCCCGAAGGAGGGTTTGTGTCCAGCGAAGCTGCCGACTCGTACTATAGACAGGGAGACACGCATCTGCGGGAAGGCGCCTACCAGGTTTGGACGAGGAGAGAATTCGACTCGGTGATTGGCGATAGCCACGATAGCGCCATCGCTGCGGCGTACTGGAACGTTCTGGAACATGGAAACGTAGAACCGGATCAGGACCCCCATGACGCCTTCATCAACCGAAACGTCCTCTACATCGGGAAAGATGTAACAGATCTGAGCAAGCAGTTCAAGGTCCCAATTGAGGAAGTAAAATCTATCATCAAAAGTGCCAAGGCCAAACTTAGCGCGCACCGAGAGAAGCACCGCGTCCGGCCCTTCGTCGATGACAAAGTTATCACGTCCTGGAATGGACTCGTTATATCTGCTTTGTCGAGGGCCGCCGCGAGCTTGCAATACGTCGAGGGCGTAGATCACGCCAAATACCTGGATGCTGCACGGAAGGCGGCCGTCTTGATCAAGGAAAAGCTTTGGGATGCTAAGGAGGGCGTTCTCTACCGGGTGTATCGCGATGGTAGTAGGGGTGATACCAAGGGTCTTGCCGAAGACTACGCCTACCTGATCGAGGGGCTCTTTGACCTTTATCAGGCCACGCTCGACGACCAGTGGCTGAAGTGGGCGGACGAACTCCAGCGTAAGTTGTCTCATCTTGTTTGTTCTACCTTCCATAACACGCTACATACTAACCCGGCTTTCCTCTCTTTAGAAATCCAGCTGGTTCTCTTCTACGATGCCCCGAAAGTGGATGAAAATGCCACTACGATCGACGCCGCATTGCAAGCATCCTGCGGAGCATTCTATTCGACCGAAGCCGACTCAGCGCAGGCCATTCTCCGACTCAAGGATGGCATGGACACGTCGTTGCCTTCAATCAATGCCGTGAGCGCATCTAATCTCTTCCGGCTTGGTTCCATAACCGCCAACGAGACCTATACATTGCTTGCGAAGGAGACGGTCAATGCTTTCGAAGCAGAGATCCTGCAATATCCTTGGCTCTTCCCTGGGCTCCTCACCGGAATCACCATATTACGGCTCGGTGGTCTGAACTTTGTGGTTTTGCGCCAGAACAAGGAGTCTGCTGGTGTCGCCTCGGGCAGTGTTAGTTTTGACGACTTTTTCAAAGCTCTCAATAGCGCTCCGAGCGGGGGTCTCAAGGCCTTTTCGGTGATCAGCGGGAAAGATTCGTGGGTCTTGGAAAAGAATCCAGCTCTGAAGAAACTGGCGGAGGGCAAGGACGGGATCTACTGCCTTGAGGGAGAGGAGTTTAGGCCATTCACGTCCAAAGATCTAAGTTCCTTCACTCGACAGAGCTGATTGCAAGCGTGGTCTCCCACTTCCTTGGATCTAGGTTGAACACACTCCTCAATATTTTGTCATATCTGGAGTTTTCCTTACTTTTTTTTTAAACAGGCCATTTGCTTCACGGCGGCGGGCTCGATCATGGCGCGGGAAGGACAGATTGGTAGCAAGCATTTTTGAATACCCCTCTCCCCGTCTTCTATTCTTGGTTCGCTTCTGTTTTCCACTCCATTGGTATTTTGGTGTCGGTGGATTGGCATTTTTCCTCCTCTTCTATATATCCTTGTGTTTTTTTTTTTTTTTTTTTTTTTTTTTTTTTTTGAAATGTGGTATATCTATGTGTTTTACCCTGGTGTTTATCTTCATTTTAACCTGCCGGAGGGCTAGTTTACTGATAGAATGGATGAATTTACTCTTCAACAGTATCTCGCGAACTCCAGGACATAGTAGTTTGGCGTGTTGGTGTTGGTTTGGATACAAGCTTTTGTTGGAATGGTATAATAGATTCTTATATCTACTCCCTTAGCCTCGGGAGATTCCTTTCTTTGAACAAATGGGAACATGCGAATGTGAATTGGTTACGAGGGCCTGAAAAAAAAAAAAAAAAAAGTAAAGTCGCCTCTATAAGACGGGTATCAGTTTAAAAAAAAAGTTTTGGGTTGTTCCCCTTCTTCATCTTCCTCTTATGCTTCTTCTTTTTCTTCTTCCTCTGCTTCCCTCCTCTCTCTCTCCTCTCGGGGAATAAACGCAGTGTTTTGAACCCTCCTTCCCCCTCCCCCTTAATCTCCAAAACCCTACCACGTTTTTTTGTTTCCCCCTACTCCCCTCGACTTAGACCCCGCCCCAGGAACCAAAGAACAAAAAGAACCGACGACCAAAACTCCTTCTAGAGAACGACGAGAACGACATTCTTTCTTAGTTTCAATGATCCCTGGCTGGACTCCCCGTCACACTAGCACCAGGCTTCCGTTTCGTGAGGTTCAGGAAGAAGGCCTCCAGGCCGGCGGTATTGTCGAGTGAAGGAGGGACGCCGTCGGCAGGCGGGGTGGTCGGGTCGGAGCCATAATCCTGGCGGTCCTGTTGGCCGTTCCGTTAGCAATAGTTCTTCTTTTTGGCCCAATAAAAAGGGGGGGGAGGGGGGGGGGAAGCAAGGAAGCAGGAAAAAGAAACCGGGCGCGCTGTGTCCCATACCTTCAGCCTCTGGACCATGTCATCAGCGTCCACCTGAATACCACCCATATTAAACTGCACCGGCCCAATATGATCCGAAACCACACTGCCCCCCATGCCCGCCTTAACAAGGTCCAGATCCTCCAACGGTTTCCTTCCCCCCCTCGTAGGCGTGTTCCCGGCAGCGGCGGCAGCCCTTTCCTTCTTCTCCAACTCCTCCGTCTTCTCCCTCATCATCTCGAGCAGCCTCCCCTGATCAGCCAAAAACCTCTGCGGATCATCCGAAACGACCTCCAACTTCGTAGGATCCGAGGGTTCCGGCCCCGCAAGCTGGAGTGCGCCCGCGCTCGCATCAGGAACCCAGTCCTCGTAGTGGAACAGGGCCGACAGCTGGTTCTGGTGAGATTCTGGTTCTTCGTCTCGGAACGGGTCGCGGGCGGTTGAGGAGTTGGGAAGCGGCCAGTCCTGGTGGATGTCCTCGGACCAGCCGTTGCTGACAGTCTCGACGTCAAAACCTTCGCGGAGCACGCGGATCTTGCCCCACGAGTCCCAGTTGGGCGGCACGAGGATCTTATCGCGGTCGATGACGTTGTGGCGGAGGGGTTCGCGCTTTATGAGGGATGTTATGCCTAGGCTGGCGTGGATGAGGGATCGGAGGGGGGAGGGGAGGTGGGGGGTTGTGTAGATGAGGGATGCGCCGTCTGGGAGTGAGAAGTTAGTTAGTACTTTGCGGATCAAAGGTCGTTTTTTGGTTGGGGGAGGGTTGGGGCGTACGTCTTAGGAGAATGGTTCGTAGATATTGGAGGATTTGGTCAAAGTCTGCTTCTTTCCACCCCTGGCTCTTTTCTAGGACCTCCATTCTATCGGCCTGGTTTGGGTTAGCGATCTGGGGTTTTCCAGGACCAAGTAACAGTTGGAAGATAAAATCTTACGTTTTGGCAGACGACGCATAGAGGCAAACCCAAGCCATCGTCCCATTCACTAGGGCCCAAAGGCAGAGCAGCGTCATCGTCCGCCGCCGCCACGCCCGTCCCATCAAGATTCACCGAGCCGCCTCCCCTTCCGCGATCTCTCCACGACATCATAACGTCCTGCATAGCGTCGACGCAGTTCGAATCCAGAGACTGAAGGATATCGCGTAGCATGAGGATCCATTCTCGCAGTTGGCGCAGCCATAGGTGTGGTTGGCTCCAGTCAAGGAGGACGACTATCAGGGTGTTTGGTATGGTTTCGGGTGTGAGGAGGGGTTTGATGAGGGAGGTGAAGGACGGCGAGGGCGTCGAGAGGAGGTAGAGGGATATGCGAGCGAGGGTGTCTGTTTTGAGAGGAATAGGTTAGGTTAGCTTGGGCTCGGTTCTCTCAGGGGTTGGGGAGCAAAGGCGACGAACCCTCTTGGTCGGAGTCGAGAACGTCGTAGTAGGTGTATCCGAGGGCAAAGTTGTTAGCGATGGGGGGAATACGCTGCCGGTCGATCAACCGCCTTGGGTCGCTATTGGAAAGGGAGTCGAGGAATTCTCTTTGGGATTCGGGGGAGCCACCTGAGAGGTTGAGCAAAGTTAGGGGACAGCCGGTTTCGCAGGAAATGCCGTGAGTCCAAGGGGAAGCTACATACCAAAGACTAGGATATTCTTCTCGGGTAACCGCTTCCCACTCGCGACCGAATCGAGCATGGATGTCCATAAATCTTTCTTCTGCTCCCCATTGCGCCCGTCTGACAAGGCAGAGGTGGAAGTATAAGTCGAGATGCGGTTCGCCGTTGCGGTCATGTTTGCGGCTCCTCTGATAATGGCAACATGTAGACCTTAACTCAGGGCCGAAGCGGTTGTAGGTAATCGAAGGGGCAAGGAAACCAGCACGACTGATAATCTCCTTCGCATCGACGATCTGATGGAGAGATCCGGGAGAAAACGCGTTGCAGTCGCGCTAGGCGGGGAGGACGAGAGTAAGGCTGGTTTGGGGAATGTTTCTTCTAGATGAAAAGATGTTGGATCATCTTCGTCGGGGGCGGGTTCTACTAGAGGGAGAGAGTATATTCAAGACTACGGTGGAAGGGAATGGCAAGTATAATGATGGCGAGGTTCGTCTCTTTCGAATTGATTCGGCCGTTGGGTTCCTCTCATGAAAGATGGACCGATTTCTGGAGAAGATTCCTTTGTCGAGATTTCGGTTCTGTCCTGCCCTGTTACAAAAGCCGTCTGCAGCTGTCAGAATTACAAAGTCAGAAGTACCTTTGGGGCCAAAGGGGGGCTAATTTCAGAACCTCAGGATAGCACGCCTCCGAGCAGAACCTGGTGCGCAAAGACCCAGTATTATATAATTTATATATCGAAAAATTTACTAATTATTTAAGAAATTTTATAATTTTATATAAATTTATAACTATTTTAAATAATTAAATTTAAATTTATTTATTAAATTTTTTTTTTAAAAAAAGATATATATGTATATATAGAAGGTAATAATTCGTCGATGATATTACAGCTGCTTAAAGTCAAGTGCCGCTGGCAGTGACACTTGAAGCATCCATGATCTTACAAAGCTCAGAGAGCCCAGCTCGGTGACCCTGAGCGACCCATGGCTCGTGCAGCTCCTGCAGACAACCTTGCACGGCGCATATTCCGGTTGATCGCAACGACCATTTACTATCCTCGAAGAAGCTTTCATTAAGAATAAGCTATTGAATCGTCTTGCGGCGGCGACACGCCTTGGGATGCTACTCTTTGTCTCCGCCGCTTCAAAGCTGCGAAACCCAACGGGCGAAGAGAATTACGATAGAGGGGATGATTGGGTGGCCGAGAGAATCTGACCAGAACGATCAGAAGGGACGATACCATGGCTCTGGAATGGAACTGTCATGATTCTCCCAGTTAGTTCCTTCGTAGGAAAGAGTAGATTCCCCTGCATCCTGCTTCGTGTAACAACCAACGCCAAACTGTGAGGACGATGATTGGCTCCTGCTTCATACATGAGGGGTAGCCACACCCAGTGACGGTTGCCTCATCTTCCTAGGAGAGAGCAAGGCTGCCTGCCAGTTTGGCTTGAGCCCGCACCCCCTTAGAGACCCGCGAAGTACTTTTTCTCTCATCACCTCTTCGCTGAACTCGAGCTCTATTTTAGATTACAGTTATGAAAATTCATGTAAGTGACCTCTTTCTCATTTGTCCTCGCTGCCAACTGACCAATATCTTAGACAGTTCGAGATGCCCATCTCTATTCTCTCTGACATTACCCTCCCTCTTCCCAAGGCACCAATACGGGTCGTGGTGAAGGTAGATCGGAATGTACTCCGTCACATCGACCCCTTCATGGAGCCCGTATTAGATACGGACGGCTTCACGCGCATCCTACGAAAAGGACGACCCGCCTTGGCAAAGGTCCACCAAGAGCTGAGCACCAAGCTCTTCGGTTCATACTGGCCTCGTTCTTCTGCTTCTATGTCGTGGCCGACGTATGATACCCCGCAAATTCGAGATAAATGGGTGGGGTTTTATTATGAATATAACGTTGAGTTTGGAAATAGAGACCCGCCAGTGCTTGAGCTTAAAACAGCCGAGGAGGTTGTCAACAACGCGGTGGTGTTTCACGCTGTGCAGTTGGATAGGGCTGGGAGAGAAAATGCCAATTATATCATAAATAACGGAGAGGATACTGATGTTGCAGACACCCAGTAGACTATCCTTTCTGCGGTTATTTCATAGGAGCCATATTTTATCAAGGAAAGAAATAAGCGATATTTGAAAGTGCTGTAAAGAATGACTGTAGAAGCACATTTGTCTATCTAAAGAGGAATGACTGTATATTGTGTTACCCACTCTCCAATATCCCATATCCTATATTCCTTCACCATACAACAGTCCTCTCCACCTGTGCTATCCTCTCTAACATCTCATATCCCACAATTCTACATATCCTATAGCCAGAAAACAGTCCCCTTCACCTTCCCAGGCGTATATGTAGCCTTGACTCTCTTTATGACATCCCCACAACTCTGATGGGTTGATACCATGTGATGTTGAAGCTATCATCGCGGGCGTGGGTGATTCGGGCATGCTGCATCAGAGTACTTGACAACAGTGTTACTTGGCGTCCGTGTGCAGTCCCCATCACAATTTGTTGGCCGTGTGTAGACCGCATCAACGCAGCGGCAGACCCGGTGGATGTAAACAGTATGGACACACATGCTGTCTGGTGTATCTATGTATACTTGGTTAAACACCTTGTTTTACACGATCTTGATTTCTCCTCGAAACCAGGGGTTTGAACTAACCAGAGTATGAGTACGGGACTCGGACGGGACTCGGCCTTGAACAATCGTTATTCAATGGGGATTCCAAGGCTATCGGGCTTGTTTGGGTGTTTGGGACGAAGGCAGGACGAGTGATCGGTCTAAGTCAGAACAAAGATGCTGTGAGGTGGAGGTGGATTGCTCGTGCTAGAACGTGAAGACTGAAGGATGTAGATGGCTGGGATGCTTCCCAAGAACATTTACGGCAAACCATCGGAATTCACGAGGTTCTTATATTGACTCAGAGTCGGAGTGTCTTCTTCCTTAGAATGTCGAGTTAGTTCATTGATGATGCTAGCAGCGCTGTTAACCAGAGCATACCAGCACGAGTTCAGGCATCACTCGGCCGTTCGAAGAGACCCAGAAAACGCCCCGTGAAATATCTCATCACAAGAAGCCGAAGCCCGCGCGTTGGGCATCATGGAGGCGGTGCCTGCTCGAGCTTTACCTTAGTCAAGAATGGCTCCCATCCGAAAGAAAGGCAGACCGGGGGCCACAAGGCAGAGAATAGAGCATCAAGCTTGTCACAAGTAATGAAATGTATGTATCTCGGGAAACTGAAGTGGATATTCACGATGTTGGGGGCCGGTGGGGGCCAGCGGGGCCCAAACATGAGCATTGATGAAATGGCAGTCGCCTCATTATTCTATAGCCAAATGATGGACGAACTGCATCCGCGATCATCGGCCAATAGAATGTTGAAAGTAAAATAGGGTCTTGGTGCCTGGAAGCCCACGGAAAGGACCGTGTGGGCTGCGCCAGATCGAACAACATACCCAAATCACTGGAAGGTGTTCGCCGTCGTCGTGTGATAAAGCTAGCCTCGCCAAGCCATGATGTTGGCAGTCGTGGGTGACAGTTTCGTTATTGGCTGGCCCTAGAAGCAGGTCCAATGCATTGAAGGCAAGGCGCCCAAGACAGGCACCTTCGGACCGACATCCAACGCACCAATACCAAATGCTCACCAGCACCGCCCCTCCGCAAATTAGGAGTTCATGCTGTCGATAAATAGATTTTGTGAACCTGCTGCTTGACTGCCTGTCGGTCTGTCATTCGGAGGCTGAAACACGTTGTTCTTGGGACACACGACCACTTCCCGCCGCAGCTTTAACTGTTTACACGTTTCGTGCCTCGTCAAATATCTGAGCCACGGTCTCCTATTAAGCGACCATGGCACCGCCCACTCCTCGACTATTATCTGTTGATTTTTTTTTTCCCCCACTTCTCCTTCTTTTTTACTTTTTTGACCGTCAGGAGCCCACGTAACTCACGAACCGGTCCTCGCTCTGGCCACGTGCGGGTTGGCGGAGGATACACGCGGTAGTTTCTTTGACTCTGAAGCCAGAATCGACCGACTTAACGGGTTGCTTGACCACCGACTGAGGTGTACACATACACTTTCGCCGTGTGTACGAGGCAAAAGTCGAAAAAATAGCGGCAATCGCAGGATCTACCTACGCAAGTTGTTGGCAAATAATCGTTCTGAGCCCGTCGCATTTCTTGTCTGTCTGGGACAAATCATCTGGCCAAGTCAAATGGCCATCGAGCAGCCAGCGACGTCATGTCAGTCAGCCCGAGAGAATGCCCATCGCTCCTTCATAGATCAGCAGGTTTCGCCTCATGAACAGTGCAATTTCCAAAGCGCAGGCCGAGGGCACTTGTGCGAAGTTATCGAAGTCTTTGCAAACACGAGCGCAGAGGACGACCCATGTTAGTGAAGATATCACTCAGCTTGCAACGCCTACTCCGACTGAAGAGGGTGTTCGACGTGATGGAGGGCGTGTTGGATCGGACTGGCAGAAACGCGACTGTCGAAATTGCGATCTTTACGCCTAGAAAATTGCCTCGGCTCGAGGAGGCACAGTAGGTCGGCGCCAGAGATGAGATGCAGCCGTGACCCTGATGGGTTTGCTCTGCCTCTGATGACGAGTTGAAACGCCATACCAGTCACACGGTTAGATGCCGCTCTAGATTCAGGTGAGCCGTTTTGGAATGTCACAGAGGACCCTCATTACAGAGATCTGAACTAGATCGCGAACAACACCTATCTGCACAATTGCAATGAGGTTTTCAGAAAGGAGGCTTACCCAACCTCATGTATGACGCCCGCAAGGACTAGGACTCTCCTTCCCCGGGCCATCGCCGAACCAACTTAGACATAATTTGAGTTTGCACGGGCTCAAGAATGGCGCCCAAGAGCCGGAAGGAGAAGAATATTCCTTCAAAGACGAGATATTCCTCAATTGCGCGGCACCAGCGAGCCTCGGAGGAATTGGATACACATCCCACGGCCAAGTATGCTGTCCCGAGTACCAGATCCAAGCTCAAAGTTGGCACACTAGTGCTTGATCCCCTCGATAGATACTTCTAGTTTTGAAGAGGCCATCGCCGTCGCCGATCTAGAAGATAAAAGCTGTAGTGAATAATCTACTGGTCTTTCTTTGGGACGAAATCTAAAAAGGCTCGTTTGCTTCTCTTCGGGGAGGATATTTCCAGCGTGAAACTCGGGTCTGGATGGGTTGTGCTGTCCGGTGGGAGTATGGTTGGTAACTGGCAGGATAGGATATTGTCGTCCAGATTCCTTTCAAAATGAGTGAGGTACCTCAGTACATGCAATTGCATACATAACTGCCTACACTTCCTCCATAAACGCATATTTCGCCACGCATCACTAGGAATGACATCTGCGCCTCATAATTTGGAGAGCCTTTCCAGCCTCGCAGGTAATCTTGGTAGCCTTGCATTTCCATTTCTATTCTCCCAAGAAGGAAGAAAGGAAACTCACTCCACCATGAACAAGATCCGATCAATACAAGCCCTAAATAAAAGGGAACTAGAAAATGGAATGTAAGTTATCCACATCCCCCCAAACCGCCCTCTCCTCCCGGAGCTAATACTAACTCAAAAACCAACAGCCGTCCAGAAGCCTCCTGGCACGCCGACTACCGCGACACCGCCTTCATCTACTTCGGCGGCCTCCCCAGCGAACTCTCCGAAGGTGACATAATAATAATATTCTCGCAATACGGCGAGCCCGTATTCATCAAGCTCGCGCGTGACAAGGAAACGGGCAAGTCGCGCGGCTTCGGCTGGCTCAAGTACCAAGACCAGCGCAGCACGGAACTGGCGGTGGATAACCTCGGCGGGGCTAAGATATTAGGGCGCGTGATGCACGTGGATCACGCGCGGTATAAGCCGAGGGATGATGAGGATCCGGAGGAGGGAAAGGTGGATTGGCGGTCGATGTTGAGGATGGAGGGGAAGAATGCGGAGGAGAGTAGTGAGGGGGAAGGGGAGGAGGAGGAGGATGGGGGGAGACCGATGTTGGAGGAGGAGAGGGAGTTGGAGAAGTTGATGAGGGAGCATGATGAGGATGATCCGATGAAGGCTTTTTTGATTGAGGAGAAGAAGAAGGAGATAAAGGAGGCGAGGGAGCGGTATGAGAAGAAGTCGAGGAGGGATAAGGATAGGCACAGACACCGGAAGCATAGGTCTAGGAGAGATGACGGCGACGAGGATGAGGAATCGCGCGCGAGGGATAAGAGAGAGGACAGGAGGAGACGTGATGGTAGCCCAGATACCCGAGACTCGAGGAGGAGGGATCGAGAGAGGCGGAGGAGCCCGGGAGAGGAAGGGTCTTGTAAAGATCCCTACGCCGAGGAGCGTGAACGGAGAAGAAGAGAAAAGGAGAAGGAGAGGCGGCAGGACGACCAAGAGGGTGATGCGGAGTCAATAGATCGGCGAAAGCGACGGAAAGAAAGGGATGGCTCACTGGACCGCCGACGAGAGAGGGATGAGAAACGGCATCATAGGGAGAGGAGGAGAAGCAGGAGTAGATCACCCTAAACTAATATATCCTCCCAAATCCACCCCCGAGAGGAAGAATACCCACCTAACAGCATTCATGTTCTGCGTAAGGAAATAGAGGAAAAAAGAAAGAAGAGAAGAAGAGAGAAAACAAATCCTCTAGTTGCAATTGTAATGGTTCGCTAAAATCACAGTAAAACGCCGTTCCCAACCTAGCCTCCAAACCATGTCCCATATCCTAACGCCAAATCACCCATATCCCAACCCATAATCCACAATAACTTCCGTACCTCATACAATGGAAGAAAAAAAAGGAACAAGTAGTGGGACTTCTACTAGCCGTTTCCTAGATACTTCTTCCATCCCTCACGCACACAGTACCTCCTCCCATCCTCACCCACTACGATCACGAACTTCTCCCACCGTGCGTCTCTGCCCGCACCAACGACAACTAGACTCTCCTCGGTAATCCATCCGATGATACCCTTGGCAGGTCGCGCGGTGCCGGGCGTCGTATTCTCCGAGAGCGGCAGTCCTCCGATAAGAGTCTCGTCTCCCGCGGCGAAGGGCGCAGACGCAAACGAGTACACGTCCGAAAAGAGCCTGGGCATGAGGGGGATCTTCCCGAGGATGCCCCATTTTCCTCTGCCGTCGCCGTCGCCGGCTCCAGGCAGCACGGTGCTCGGTGCAGGGACTGGATTTGCGGGCTTCTTCGGCGGTTTCTTGGGATGGGGGACGTCGAATATGTGAAGAGTGGACTTGTCTGAAGTGCAGGCGAGAAGGGTTCCAGAGGGATTGAAGGCGAGAGAGAAAATGGTAGCGGGATCGATGCCCCGGCGGAGTTCAGCGACTTTGGCAAAGCTACTTGTTGTAAACACTCGGACGATAGTTCCCTGCGTAGATGTTAGATATTCACATGTTAATGGGACACAAAGGAAAGATAAAGAGGTACTCACTGTTTCGCTGGCAGTCGCGAGCAGCTCTCCATCTGGACTGATTTGAATGGCCCTCAAAGCCGAAGAGTGCGTTGGGATGATGCTGATATTACCAGTAATCACATTCACGACCTGAATCTGTCCTGGAGTTTGGCCTGGAAATGCCAGAAACTTGTCCGTCAGACAGCACAGACCTAGTAGGTTGTCCGCCGTTTCATAGACGGAGATGAGGTTAGGAGGTTTCTCGAAACTATAGAGACGAATGCTGTTCTGGAGCGCGATGGCGATTCTGCTTCGCGACAGCTGGACACCTCGGACGGTAGCGAGGGTGGATATCTCTATCGCGACCTTGCCACCCAGATCGTCCCAGATGATCGCCTGGGTCCAAGTTAACACTTGGATCATCGTTCTGGTTTGCGGGTTCACACGTACCTTGTTGCTTGCGAACTTGGGAAACTTGCCGCCTCCGACAAGCGCAAGGTAGTTGGTTGTGCCCATCATCTGCACCAGGCCAACACCTGCGTTAAAGTCTGGCCCCTGCCGTCAGCATGGAAGATGGGAGGCGAGCTAGCTATAATTAAGCAGCATCATGGGTCGGCAAGCATACCTCTCGTGGACTTGAGGAGACATGTCTTGGATTGGAAAACTAGAAGCAGGTGAGGTTAGATAAAAGGTCGTGAGGCGAAGGGTTTATGTGACGATGCGAGGCTGAGATTGGACGCACCACATATGCCCGTATTCAAACCAACAGCGAAACAACTCGAGTCATTATTAAAGGACACGGAGAGGACCTGGGTTGTGTTGGGCGACTCGATATTCGGGCGGGTATTCATGATGGCGGTGACGAATACCCTTCTTGAGGGATCGTTTATCTCGTGTCGGAGCTGGTTCGGTTGTGAGGGGAAGTGAGATTGAGAGTGAGAGTGAGAGGTGAGAGTCGGTGGTGGTAAGAAGATGCGAGGAAGGCAAGATGGGCGCTGTTGCACTTGAGGTATTCCGGTGCTATCCAGGCAGCATGGTAAGAATCATAGTGGAAACGAGAGAAACGACGACCCTTTCCTTTCCCGCTGTTGCAAACGGGTTGTGCTTCCAAGATTTACACGATGTCGATTTGACAGGGGGAGCTGTAGGCAGACGATATCGATGATGGAAGTGGAGCTGGGATCAAATGCAATGCAAGGTCGCGGAGTTACTGCCACGAATTAAGTACTGCGTTCAAGCTGTCTGTCCACAGCCTGACGATTGCTTGGGGCAGCGTTGTTGCTGCAGTGAAGAGAGCGCTGAAAGAGAATGTTGAATTTAAGCACCAATGTCTCAAGCTGTTGTTTACCCAACACCGGTGCTCATATTGTTTCTGGATGCTGGAGAAACAGTCTATATGAGAATCCCGAGCTCTTATTAATAAAAAAAAAAAAAAAGCTCGATGATGGATGGTCCTTAATACTCGGATCAAGGCACTGGTGACGGCGGATTCATTCTTTTGGGGCGATCAATCAATTTGATAGAGACGGGAATGGCAACCTGCAGTTCGATGTTGTAGGTCTAGCTACACTGGGGATGCGCTAAAACGGTTTTCCCGGGGGCAAGTGGATTTTATGGATGGACCTTGATCATTCATGTATCCCGTACCTTTGTATACTGTGTCCACTCTGATCGTACGACAACTTCATACTGTCTCCCAACTGCCAGCCGACCTTGTCTTCCGCAGCTGCCAGACACCCGATTGCCGCTTGTCAAAAGCGGTCTGTGTTGTCTCTGTAATTTAACCGAGGTGAAACCGGCAGATTGGGATCAAACAAGGAGATTAGAGCTAATTGGAGTACGAAGTACTCTTCAGGGGGAATCGGCACACTTAGAGGGTCAACATGTCACCAAGAATCTAGTGATGAATACTTTGTTGAATAGATTCGAGTTTACTTCGTATAAGAGAAGCTCCAAAATACTTCGTAAAGATTAAGAAAGGCACAATGGGTGGAATCTTTTCTTTTTCATCTTCTGCTGTTTTTTTTGCTCTTCCATCTGAGGAAATTAATTAATACATGAGACGGAAACATTGATCGTGGTCAGTTCGGTACTGAGGTCTCATCCCTGGACCCTGGGAGATTGTTTCTTCGATGGGACTGTACTGTACATTAACTGTCACGAATGTTGCGCTTCTTGCAGCGGTCACAGCTCACGGGGGCGGTACTGGTACAGCGGATGGTAATTCCTCCAGGTACCTAACCATCCACACAAGTGTCAGTGGTCAGGTACAGAGAATATCTCCGTCCTCCATTAAGTACGAAGTACACTACATCAATAATACAGTTGAGAACGGTCTGAGCATCAATCTCGTGCTATCCATAATCTGGCCTTCCCCAGTCCAGCAGCCAGCGCCTTCCATCAGTGGCTAGCCCAGTAAAGGTCCGCCTTCCCCCTTAGCCCAAGCCAGGCCCCATCTCCCCTCACCCCTGAATCTCCCAGCCTGCCACCGACAGTGACCAGACGCAATTGGTCCTGCCGCAACATTTTGTGTAAAATTGCTTGAAAGTTCCCAGCGCCGTTTTTCTCTCCATCCTCCTTTCCCCCTTTGGATCCTCTCGACTCTCCCAAGTTCCACCCCAGATCAACAACTCAACTTCAACACCTCCACCATCATCAATTCTTCTTCCCCTTTGTCTTTCTGCCGTCGTCGAGTCATCATCGTCGGGGGGTTCGATTGACAGAGTCCGAATTACCTCCCTCCCTTAACTTTTGCGTGTGTGTACCACCTTCTGTACACATATCCCCAACCTCTCCCCACGCCGTGTTGCTGTGGTTCCCCCTGCCGTTGCGCAACATCCTCATCTGATACCCGTAGACGTCGAAGCTCCGCTCGTCGCCTACAAACTTATTTGTTAGTATTCTACAAACTTGATGTCTTCGACTATCGTATGTTACTAGAGACCTTCCCCTTCGCCAACTTGTTTTGTCCTGCACCGCTCCCCTTCAGACGGTGCCTCGTGCAACACCTCTCCTCACCGCGACTTGGCCTCCTTTTTCCGTGACCGGGCTTCGTGATTCTCCACCTCGACACAACTGCCACTCCATTGCAGCTTAAAACATCAGCTAATCTACGAGCTCACCATCCTCAGAAAATGATCCGAAGAAAGAAGAACGTCAAGAAGGGTATCCAGTTCTGCCTTATGGTATGCGGTGCTTCGGGCACAGGTACGTTGACCGCCCACCCTCCATACCCGTCACTATCTAAGCTCTATGCATCCCTATGGGCATTGTTTATCTAACTCACCCGGGTTCTACAGGCAGAACTACCTTCGTCAACACCCTCTGCGATAAGAGTGTCCTCACTCACAAGGAGAGCGACGACCCCAACTCTGCCCACATTGAGGATGGTGTCAAGATCAAGCCCATCACTGTTGGTTCGTCTGCCACGTCTCCCCTCCGAATTATCAGCCATTCTAGGGATATCAATTGACTAGGGATAAAATAGAACTCGACGAGGAGGGTACTCGTATCTCGCTGACCATTGTCGACACTCCTGGCTTCGGCGATCAGATCGACAATGAGGCCAGGTATGTAGCATGCACTTTTCCGGTTCTCGGGCCGCGCCCCTGTCTGTTGCTGTCCCCTAACTTGCTTTGAACTATAGCTTTTCGGAGATTGTTGGCTATCTCGAGCGCCAATATGATGACATTTTGGCCGAGGAGTCAAGGATTAAGCGTAATCCCCGATTCAGAGATAACCGAGTCCATGCTCTGCTCTACTTTATCACCCCCACCGGCCATGGGTACGTTGCGCGTCTTCAACAAATGACAAAAGTTTAGCTGCTAACTGTGTGGGTTTATAGCCTCCGTGAGCTCGATATTGAGCTGATGAAGCGCCTTGCCCCCCGTGTCAACGTTATCCCCGTTATCGGCCGCGCCGACTCTCTCACCCCACACGAGCTTGCCGAGTCCAAGAAGCTTGTCATGGAGGATATCGAGCACTACAGAATCCCCGTCTATAACTTCCCCTACGATATTGAGGAGGACGACGAGGACACCGTCGAGGAGAACGCCGAACTTCGAGGCCTCATGCCATTCGCTATCGTCGGATCTGAGGATATTGTCGAGATCGGCGGCCGAACCGTCCGTGCCCGCCAGTACCCCTGGGGTGTTGTCGAGGTTGACAATCCCCGCCACTCCGACTTCCTCGCCATCCGATCCGCCCTCCTCCACAGCCATCTCGCCGATCTCAAGGAAATCACCCACGACTTCCTTTACGAGAACTACCGTACCGAGAAGCTTAGCAAGAGCGTCGAGGGTGGTGCTGGAGCGTATGTTTCCTTTCCGTTCTCGATCTCTACTGTTTGCTGCATCATTAATTCCTGACAATGAAACTAACTGTGATGATAGTGACTCCTCTATGAACCCCGAGGACCTTGCTTCCCAGTCTGTCCGCCTCAAGGAGGAACAGCTTCGCCGCGAGGAAGAGAAGCTCCGCGAGATCGAGGTCAAGGTACAACGCGAGATCAACGAGAAGCGACAGGAACTCTTGGCCAGGGAGTCTCAGCTCAGGGAGATCGAGGCGCGCATGCAACGGGAAGCCGCTGCTGCTGCTGCCGCGGCGTCTGCCAACCAACACGAAGCCAACGGCGACGGCAACTAATTTCCACGATAGTGTTGTATGCGCTATCCGGAGTTTTCTTGTGTCCCCGGAAAAATCGTGCGACGTTGGTCTATCTTTCCTATACTGGCGTTGGTTTTTCTTGCCCTCCCGATTCCCAAGAAAGTGAGATGAGGTTACAATATTCCCCCTGCTGCTCCGTTTTTATTTTTTTTTTTCCAAGCTTCTGTTCGTATTATTTGTCACCTTCTCCCCTTTTCAGCTTATTCAGTCAATGGATACCGAACGATTCAAAAAATGCAGCCCCGTCAAGAGGTTTGTTTCTCTTGGAGATGGAGCTGCGATGACGACGAAAGAGTAGTTGACTAGATGGGAGGCTGCAGGATTAGATGAATCAGTACTATATCTATCTATGGTGCACAACCTGCCTCAGCAATGGGGGATCTTGCGAGAGTTTGGTGAGACTTTGGAGATGGAGGATGAAAAGGTGGATTTCGCTCTGATTGCGGGTTACCGGCTTGTCTTCTCCGGATGGTTTCCGACTCTTCGGGATCTAGGTCGTCGTCGCGTATGCTACATGTTATGGAAGCAGAAGCTAGCCTCAAAGCCTTTGTCCTCGTCCTGTGGTCTAGATCCTGCCTCATTTCGAGGGGATTAATACTGGTACAAAACTACAAATGCCCTCCTAGCTTAGTCCTTTCTTATTCCTTTATTTACTTTTCTTTAATGCCAATGAAGACCTTTTCCGAGTTTCGCAATTCAAGGGACATAACTTGTCTCAAAGATATCCCTGTGATTGATCGGGGTTGATTTGGTATCACGATGATTCAAGCCACATCAATGTATCCTCATCGACTTGATAAACATGATTTGATTCAGCTAGACTACAGGTTCTCTGACAGGTCAAATAAAAGCAAAAAAAGACTCCAGAAACCGATTGCAAGCTTTGAACCCATGTTAAGGAAGTGGCTGGGAGGGGTTTCCCCCACCATGATCCGACTCTGACGTTTGGATCTTTGAGCGTGACACGCTCGAATTAGCTTCCCCATGTGATTCCCTGAAAATACAAAAGCGCTTGCAAAATATTGAAAGCAAAACGACTGTCCTGGAATGAAGGGGTGGGGATGTCTCTGTAGGGGATGTATGGCTGCGCATGAAGCGATCAGCCAGACAGGTATAGATTTTGGCGATGACGATAGCAAAAAGACGATGTTGGGAAGTCGTAAGAAACTCTCAAATCATAGCACCAACATCGGCCAGCCATTTTTTCGACCTTGATTCATGTCCTTCTTCTTATCTTAACGATGGGGAGGGTGCTGCTTTCTTCTGGTCGCAACTGGCCCTATTTTTGGATGGCTTGTCTTGTTGGTACAGAAAACCGGCAGGCGGCGACCCGGCGGATTTTAGTTGTTCTGGTTGTTAAGGATTCGAAGAATGGCGAGGAACAAGTTAATGATGTCCAAGTACAAGCTGATAGCGGCGGCGATCTCCTCCTCGACGTGGAGCTTCCTCATGACGAGCTGAGTGTCAATGAGGATGTAGACGCTGAAGATGAGAGCAGCGACGCCGCCGTAGATAAGATCGGCCGTCTTGGAGTAGGGCAGGAAGATGTAGATGAAGCCGAAGATGACGAGGCCCCAGAGCGCGCCGAAAGCGTAGGGGATCCAGCTCGTGAAGTCATACTTCGTCTGGCAAGCGAAAGCAGTCAAGAAGACGAAGATGCCAGCAGTGATGATGAGTGCGTTAAGCACAATAGAGACATCATAGAATGACACAACGACGGAGATGGTGTACGCCTCGGCAGCGGTAAACAGGGCCAGGAAGGCGAGGTTCGTGGGATACGACTTGCGCTTCCAGTAGGTGAGGCCGAGGAAGACGAAAGACCCGATGACGGAGATCCAGAGGAGGAGCGGGTTGGACTGGATCCACGACTTGTACGAGGTGGAGAAGAACGAGACGGCGGAGAGGGCGGTGGTCGCGATGAGTTGGGCAGAGAGGATAGCGTAGACTTTGCGGACGAATTGGTTGCGGATGTCGATGGTGGCTTCGGCTACGGATCCTCCGAACTGTCGCGCAAAGAGATCGTCACGTCAGCCTAGAAGCTCCCAGAGGGGGAAGAGAGAAGCTTCGGGAAGTAAGTGAAATGGAAATATTTTTAATCTCACCTTGAAGTCATCGGGAATATTGTCCTCGCTTGAGCGCGGACCGGCGAAGAGCGGGGTGGCGCTGGTGGATGAGCTCGCCTCGGCCTGATAGCCCGGGGGCGCTTGGGTAAAGTCATCGGGGTCCTGCGTCGGGGCAGGCGTGTACTTTGCGTTCGACATGGCGAATCTGCTTCGTGGAAGCGACTAGTTGTTTCTATGTCGGAAAAAAATAGAAAAGGAAGACCTGCTGTCTTTCCGATTGCAAGAGCCGGATCGATAGTTATACACTCGGTCTGCGAGGGATCACGTATGAGGGGTTGTTTGTTGCTGAGGAGGAGGCTGAGGCCTTGTTTGAGGATGATGTTGGAGGATGAGGTAAACTAGGTGGGGACATGGAAGGCAGCTTCCTCTGAACAATGAAATGCTGGCGTCATGTGGTTGTTAAACTTAGTAAGTCGGAAATCGGCGCTGTATACGAAGTACACAGTAAATACTAGCTCCGATGCGAGTAATCTACGTACAGTGTGAGTGGCTGACCTGGCCCGTTCCTTGGCCCTGAATGGAGCACGTTTGGGCACTGTTTGGCACCAAAACCGGATTACTTTCGCACTGTATCTGACGACTGAGGCATCAATATCATTGGTTGGCTCTCACCTGTGGTTCCGGAGCTCGAGTCATTCACCGTTCTCGGAGCCGACAGTGGTGGTCGGGGGATTTCTTCTGCTGATGGATCCAGAGTTCCGTGCTGTTTTATTTCCTTTCATTTCGAGTCTTGGATGGAGATAGCATGAATGAAACAGCTAGGGCTAAACTTTTACAAGCAAGGGAGTAATGAGAGTAATACTGAGAATGACAATCAATAAATTTGCCCGCCCACAACAACAGGCCACCACCTCCTCCAAGTTTTGGCAGTCGATAAATGAGTAGACAAAACAAGCGGATGAACGAGGAGGCAAACTAGACAAAACCAACAAACGAGCAGACAAACGAGGAGACAAACGCGGGCGATGGCGCCTGGTAGGAAAGGGATTGCCAAGGGGGAGCGTCAATCTTGAGTCCTTTGCCACAAATATCTCCTATGCCCCCCGACTTCGAGACCGCAAAGACGACCATCACGTTCCACCTTTTTTAAAGGCAAGAAGAAGCTCAGGCAAGAAGAGCTACGCAGAGATGTGTAACAATTTGCGCAAGATTCTTCATTTCTCTTGCATGATTGATGCGGAAAGGGCCGTACACGTTCATCTTCAGGAAGCCCGCGTCCGGTCCACGACCGTGCGAAGAGCCCTTAGACGACGCATGGGACGACGCATGGGACGGCGGGTGGGACGATGCATGAGATGACGCACCCGACTCCGACGAAGAGTCTGAATTTGCTCTCTTCTTAACCGGCGGGCGCGACGGCGAGGGAGGAGTTTTGCGGCCTGCAAGCCCACCGACCCTCTCATCCGTGATGTACTCGACATAGTCGACGTCATACTCTGCAATGGTTACATATATCTCGTGCCTATCCTGAGAAATCAGGACCCGACTAATAGCAAAGAATGATGGTTAGCGTAAAGGCCTCTGTAGTCGTGTCTTTCCCCATCGAGGTTAAGACCAGATGATTGTGGTTTGGCTAGGGGGCCAAGGGTAGGAAACAACATACCGTCGAATATCACGCTCGTTAGCTTTCCTAAGGACGCCAGGTGCTTTGGATCTGGGGTCAGACGCAATCCAGGCCGCCATCTGGGCGCCTTCTTGTCTTTCTATGTCGTCGCGCTTGGCCTCGCGGACAAACGGTTTCGTCTCGAGGATTGCAAAGGCATCCCTCGAGCCCTTCCGGGAGAGATAGCCGTCCACTCGGGCCTGAAGCAATTGTTGACCCTGAGAATTCTTCAGCACGAAGGCCTTGGGATCCGGATGCCAGTGGGCTACCCAGGCGGACTCCAGCTCGGTAGAGTGGAGCCTAATGCTGGAAAGAAAGACGACGAGAGACATGTTCACTACAGCCTCGTATTGAGCCTGAGGGTTCGACGAAGGCGAGGCGGCTACGACGGGGGAGGCACTTGACGATGAAGTCGATGACGCACTTGGCGGCGAAGTTGATGCGGTACTCCCGGGAGGGGGGCTGCTGACGCTGAGTGCCTTCATTGCTGCTATCGCCTTCTTCTCATTCTTCTTTTGCAGGTACTGTTGGAAGATTGTGAGTTTGGAAGCCTCATCATCAGGTTCGATCTTCTCCGAGTTCATGACAAGATGTGTCAAGTACTGGTGGAGGCTGAACAAATTCGGCTTAAGGCCCTTTACCCAGAAGGGGTCTCCTTGCCCGTCGCACTTGTCGATAACGTCTTTCAAAAGCTCGAAATCCGGCGGCTCATAGGATGCGTCGACGATGGCCTGCACGTTCAGCTGGCTGGGGTGATATCTCCCCACTAAGATTTTCAGGCAGAGAAACATTCGCGAATCTAGCTTTGACGCCGACCTATAGGATATATCCGAAACCTTGATTTCCCCGGAATCTAGGCCCTCGTCATGCATGCAATCCTCCCACTCTGTCGAGTTTCCGGGGATACCACTTGCTCGAGCCATGATGTTTGGCGATGGTGCAAGGCTTGACGGAGGCAACGATGTAGGAAGGGACACTAAAAAGACCAAAAATAAAGGCAAGGCAAGAATAATGGAAGCGGGAAGGCAATAAGAGTGGGAGCTGCTGTAGTGAGTAGAACTTTTTGTAGCATCCTTCATACATAACTCCATGTCAAGGATCTGTCGATTATTATATGCATTTTCTAGATGCTGGCTTCGAGCAAGAAGATGCGTCATCCTCCAGCCCCAACACAGCCATTGCGTGTATGTAACGAAGTGTTGGCGCTTCGAAAATATTGACTGTCTTTCTCAATTGATGGTGGGTATGCGTGCTAAAACTAGCCGGGCCATCATCGAGCGATTGGGTAATGGCGTCTCGGTGATGACACCAACAATTGATGCGTTGCGTTTCAGGGCGGCTCCTACGGCGCGTATCTTTGGGGCGGGGATTGGTGACGTCGGCCTCTTTGAATCTCGGCCTTGGCAAACCGACGGATGTCGCTGTTCGGCGGTTACCCAGACGCGCGATTGGCGAGGCGCAAAGCTCGCTGCTGCCATCCGGGGCGGGGGACGTTGCCGCCGACATCGAACGCGGTCAAGAGCCCTCGGATGGAATGGTTCCTTGAGGCATAGGATGGCCCATTAGGCGACCCATGGAGGTTGGATCTGGGAGTGGGGAAATAATACTACCAACGATCCAAACAATTCCTTTCATTGTGTTCTGGCACAACTGATGCGAGATGACACGGCCTGATGTACTCCGAGCCCAACCGGTTCCGGGCTGCGAGTACTTATTTTAGGTCCACTACCTGAGACTGGCCTCGCCTTATGTGACCCACCTACCCGCCCATGGAGGAAACCGGCGCTTCTCCGACAAATGACATCTTGAGCTGCCTGCCTCGGGGATGACAGAAGGATTAGGACTCTAGAGTCTGGACTCTAAGCTGGGCTGTCTCCTCCGACTCCACTAGCCGAGAAAGCCTTAGCTTCCATGAAAAGAGAGAGAAAAATAAGAGGGAAAAGGAGGGGAAGAAAAGAAACAAAAGTGAACATAGAAGAAAAAACAAGACCTATACCTGCAAAAGGGATGATGGTATGGTGGAAACCAGAGTAATCCTTATGATCTGGCCATAGGCGGCATGGAGAGAGCAGAGCTGGGCAAGCACGCTGGCTTGCTGGTAGGGGGCTCGCAAGTTGCGAGGGGATTATATCGTGTTGACCCTATTGCAACTCCCGCCAACCAACTCAACGTCTTGTAAACTTCGTGTCTAGCCTTGTCGCAATGATATTCCAGATATTTTGATTGTCGGACAAGTAATCTACCTCCTCTGAAATGAAATTGGGAGATGCGGACGCATCCGTGTAGAAAATTGGCAATCAGAACCTAGCCGCGGCAAGGTGCAAGTCTTCTAGTCAACACAGATTCCCGATTTTCAAGCTGTTCTTGAAAGAATAAACCCACAGGTATTGTGTAATGATTCTCGAGAACCTGACGCTTAAGTATATCTCGAAGTAGTGTGACTGCAAACAGTATCTCGCCCACATGCATTTCTTCTGTTGGGAGGTAGCCTTCGTGGGAGATCCCGATCATATGCGGCGCAGAATCATCAGCAAGACGACAACAACGGACCACTGAGAAAGGACATAAATCGTGCGGGCTAGGAATGCACGCCTCAGTTAGAAGCTTCACATCCTCGTTGAGATACCTAGAACATAGTTAATCATCTCTTAGAGTACAACTTTCTCCAGCAAGGCAGAACTCGGGTTGACACCAACGTTGACTTCCAAGGGCGAGAATCCAGCATCAAGGATGACCCCACCAAGTAATGACAGCGTTGATAGGCGTCTATGTCAAAGGAGCAGGACGCGAGACCGTTCCGAAAATGGTCTTCAGGGCTATACGTGCAGGGTTTGGGCCAATCTCTCGGGTATTTCCTGCGGTACCGTCGGACGGCTCGGCTGGCTTCACGGATGGGGATCGGTGCGAAGAATCGAGGGTGTCGGTCTCCCAAGCCAAGTTCATCGTCGAGGTCCAAGGGATCCAGCACCTCGATTTGATGCCGCTCGAGGAAGTCAGCCGTGATAATGCACGACTCCTTGCCGATAACTTGGAGTTCCTTCCGTAGAACCTTTAGGGCCTTCAAGTCCGAAAGACGCAACTTCTGTCTGCGTTCTTTCTCTCCCGGGGGGATGGCGAGAGTCTGGGGTGTGTTTTCGGCCATTTCCCTCCTAAACGAAAGGAGCAACGCGAGAGAGGTCGACGCGATTCCTCGATGTTTACTTGGTCGCCTTATAAACTTATTGTCGTTAAGACATTGGGCATTGAAATGGGAGGTGTATTACATAATACAGTTCGCCGTCCATTGTCATTGATTTGATCACCATCTTCGATTCTTCGATGTTGTGACACGTCAATTCCGCCCTGTCAGTTGGAGAGAGCTTCGTACGCAAGTATAAAATACGACTAACGATCCACAAAGTAATAAATGAAACTTGAAGAATCCGGTACTGAGGCGTGCGAGGTCTTCCATGCCATGGCTATTCCATACCTTTGGCGTATTCTCCACACGACATGATAGTGCGGTGTAAGATCCCCAAGCTTCCCCAGTCGTTAACACTCAAGGTTCTCCAGGGTGATGGACCTGATTGGTGTGCTGAAGGTCAATATGTGGCATTGAAATGCACGTCTTCAAGCTGACCGCAGGCATAGCTACTCCCTCCCGATGCATTACTGACAGATTGGGCCGGAAGCCTCGAGAAGGAGAATAGATTTCAGCATGGAAAGTCCCGGGATAGGACATGGAGGCGCAAAGCTGCTATTTCGAGCCTGGGCTTTGAACCCTTACATCAAATAGTCCGTCGGTTTTAATTTACAATGAATCCAAAAAGGACCGTGGTTTAATAAATACAGAAAACAGATCAGAAGATAGATTTAGGAGTGCCAGCTCTGGTCTCGCAGGTTAGAGACCAAGAACAGGAAAGTGCAAATGATGGAATGATCAAAGGAATTGGGATAATCTGATCTCCACGGACTGCTCGGTTTATCCAGACGCCCCGTTGTCCGTGTCCAGGGGCCAAGATCAGGTGCGTGTCCGATTGGGGTGCTGCTACTTGCTGGATCGAGAGGAAGCAAGATGGACCGACGAATAGCAGCGTCGGCAATTGCGCGGGTCGGGTTAATGCGACATGGTCCATAGCCCATGGGGCTGGCATTTGAGGGACGGTGGGCACTGGGCAACAGGCAACAGAATTAAAAACTGGGACGGGTTTTACTAGAGCTAATTTGAGGAGGGGTGAAGTTCAATGTTGAATTTTTGGGGTCCATCAACACTTGAGAGAAAGGTAGACTGATCAATTATTAGGGACGATAGGGAACTGACGGGCCGAGTGTACATCGCCCTTAGCACGGCTCCGAGGTGCTGAAGGGACTCGATGTTATGAGGTACTTCGTCCCTAGTCAAGCAGGCGGCACGGTCTGGCGACCCTTGGAAATTCCTCAATGCTTGATCTTGGATGTACAAGTACAAATGCAAGCAGAAGGGCCCCTGTCAGGAGGGAGAACAGGGGCAGCAGCAAACCATAGCAACAGACCGACAAAGAGCAACAAAATCAATGGAAAAGACAGGGAAAAGACAAGACGAGAAAAAAAGACTGTTGAAAAGCAGGAAGGAAAAAAAAAAAAAAAAAAAATTATTATTAAGCTCGGGCGGTACCTCGTAATAGGAGAGAGCGCAACATCTCAAGCGGTTCCAAGCCAAGCTCCTCCGTCCACATCAGAACTGCAAGTAACCCCTGACCGCCTTCTTTGATGCAGCACGAGAATTCGAGCAGCAAAAAGGCAACACCAAATGTCCAAATGAACTTGGAACTTCCTCATCCTCGAATCCCGCTCCCCCCCAATTCAAAATCCATTGTTCGATTTTGATGTTTCCTCGCCTCCCCTGCCGTCGCTGTTCTTCGGACCCGCCCGCAGGAGCTGGTTCGATCTTCTGATTTCAATTGTTCTTCTCCATTCTTCATTCTGCTCTTTATCTTTGCTCTCCCCGTGATCTTCTCATCCGACCTCGTCTCCTCCAATTGCTTCGCACCAATTTCTCTGGGCGTCCTCCTTCGCTGCTGTGTCTTGCCCCCCTTTTAGCACCAGGCCAGGCCAACCCCAGCTCGTACAAGTACTTTCGATTTCCGAAGTTACTTGACCCGCCATACTTAAAAAGTATTGCGATCGCTCCAACACTCTAGCGCAACAACTTCTGGAGCAAAAAAAGAAAAAGAAAAGAGCAACAGAAAGCCAGGGGAAGACCGAGGTTCGGGGCTGATAATTTAACGAAATCCCTTTTTCTTAACGACGACAGAAACGAAAGACTGCTTCTAAATATACTCCGAAAACACTCCCCTCAACGCGATTTCTACGAAACAGACACGATTCACGCACCATAACGACAATGGCGACGTCTTCGCGACGACCGCAGGCGGCGACGGTGACCCCTCGCGCGGCCTGGGAATACATGTACGGGCCCCTTTACAAGCAGAGGACGAACGTTCTGGTCAGGAGAGTCAAGAGGAAGGATGAAAGCAGCTTCAGGCTATTAGCGCGCCTGTTTGTTGAGAATCAGATCGGTATGTTCGGACACCTTGGAGATTTTTTTTCCTCTCCTTTTTTTTCTTTTTGGTTTCATTGCAATGCATTGTCGCTCTCCAGTCAATGGCTAGCGCTACCCCCTTGTCGCGAAAACCGAGATGGGAGATGGCTGTTCCTGGGCCTGGCCTTAGCTTTTATTTAAGCTTTCAGGGCATCTCGACATTTGGATGAAGCTTTTGGCGCAGCCACTTCGGGTCTCGAACCCCACCACTGTCTCCCCAACTCACAATTCCAACCATCGGTGTCTCGCTTGACGTTCTGGAAGCATTCTGTTCCAAAATAATAGCCTTGTTTCTCTCGTCTTGCCCCGAGATGACAGAAAACACTAACAACGCTCGCGTTCTCTCCTGCAGGCCTCGCCTTCAACCTCATTGCTCTCCTCCTCCTCGCCCACGCCTTCATCCCCAAGGCGAGACCCGTTACCTCCAAGTTCGTCACATACTCGTACTTTAATCCTGACACTGGAAAGTACGGCGTTGGCTTCGACGATGGCTACTTTATCACCTTCTGCATCATCCTCTTCACCGGCCTGCGTGCCAGCGTCATGGAGTACATCCTCGCTCCCATCGCGAAGCTAGGTGGTGTTTCCAAGAGGAAGGACTTGGCGCGATTCAGCGAGCAGGCCTGGCTACTCGTGTATTATACCATCTTCTGGCCCCTCGGCGTGGTATGTTTGAGATTCCTCACACCCCGAGCAATGCTTAGCCTCTCCTTTCTAACTTCCTGCAGTATATCTACTACAACTCGAAATACTGGCTCAACCTCCACGAGCTCTGGACTGACTGGCCCCAGAGGGAACTGCCCGGCCTGATTAAGGGCTACGTGCTGGCTCAATGGGCCTTTTGGCTGCAGCAGATCCTTGTCATCTACATGGAGGAGCGACGGAAGGATCACAACCAGATGCTAACCCACCACTTTATTACCATCGGCTTGCTGTGCTCCTCCTACTTCTACCATCATACCCGCGTGGGCAACCTTGTCCTCGTCCTCATGGATGTTGTTGACATTTTCCTTCCGGTAGGCGTCTCACGTGCTCATTTGCCAGTCTAGCTACCCAGTTACTGATCTGTCTCTGCTCCTCAGCTTGCCAAGTGCCTCAAGTACACTGGCTACACCACAATCTGCGACATCATGTTCGGCGTCTTCATGGTCTCCTGGGTCTTCGCCCGCCACATCTTCTACCTCATGGTCTGCTGGTCCATCTACGCCCACACCCCCGACCTCATCCCCGGCGGATGCTTCGAGGGTAGCGCCAAGACCCTGACCGGCCCCAACGACACCCCCGCCGACTACGCCTACCTCATTGAACCCTTCCTGAACCCCGAGGGCCGCGTCTGCTTCACCCCCGCCGTCAGGTGGGCCTTCCTCGGCTCCCTCCTCGCCCTGCAGGTCCTTACCATCCTATGGTTCTTCATGATTGTGCGCGTTGCTGTGCGCGTCGTTAGCGGCGGCTCGGCCGAGGACGTGAGGAGCGACGATGAGGGTGGCGAGAAGCACGAGGATGGGGAAGTCGAGGTCCTCGAGCCGCTGGAGGAGGAGGTCGGCGTGGAGGATCTCGATCTCAAGGGGTGGGAGAGGAGGAAGCGCGTTAAGAGGCAGGCTACGTCTTCTGGCGTGAGCCTGCCCGGGCATAGCGATAGGAAGGAGCTTTTAGGGAGGATTGGCTGCGAGAAGCAGGTGGATTAATTAGGGGTGGTGGGCGATTAATGAGGGTGATTAATGAGGGTGATTAATGAGGTCCTTTGCTTTTTCTTTTTTCTAATACCGCAGGGCCTTGCGATTTCGAGGTTCCAGGCTTGCTTGGGTGGAGAAGCGATACAGAACTTGCCCTTTAAAGACAGGAAGGGAATACGAGACCAGAGGTAATTAATGCTGCGGAGAGGAAACGACGGGGGGGAAAGGAAAATGACGAGGTGAACAGACTGGATCTCGATATTCCTTCTGGGCGGTTTTCAGCATATAAAAAACTAGGGCTATAAAGACGGCAGGAGAGAAAATGAGTTAATGGAAAGGGAGAATACGTAGACATGAATGTGATTATTGGATATCATGGCGTCGAGCTTCGCGTTTGTGACTCAGAACTTAGTTTATCATTCGTCGTGCTGGGAACCTACACCTCGTGAGAAAAGATCGCGAATGTCATCGGGAAGTATCGACGGTCATTGATACAGCCAACATCAAATGAGTTTACAAGAATCAAGAAGTACAATTTTTCAACTCTTTTCATTCACTAACCCTCGTCCAAAAGCAAGGGTCTCCAACCTCATCTCTCGACCCCATGATATCTCACACATCATCCCTTTTTTGAAGGGGATATCCTAACGGTATTTCTACTCCTCACGCAAAATAATGCCGGGACAATAAGAAGAAAACAGATGAAACAATCATGCGCCCCCTTTGCCCCTGTTCTATAAAAAAAAAATCTAAATTTCCAGGAAAAAGAACAAGAGGAAAAAAAGTCAACAAGAAGTAGAAGGCCGCGTTAAAGATCCGCTTCTCTCGCGGATAGCTATGCCCTGCTTCGTGGGTTTTTAGGGGCCCTTCTTGACGTAATACAATGCCCCCTATCTCGTGGAAGGGGGGTTTTCCGAAAATCATGGCGAGTCTCTGGAGACTACCACGTCTGATTTTCGGTGGAAGAGGTGTGTGTGGAGGTGGTGGTGCGGATGTGTTATGCGTGTACTTCGACAGCTTCGTGGCGCGTCATTAGGGCGAGCTGGTGGTGTCCGCTTCAAGCCCAGTAGAATATGTATATAAAACAAAAGAGGACGGGATAAAAAAGAATAATACAAGAACGCAAACGGGTGGTTTTAGTTTTTGTCGAGGGAAAAGGATTTAGTCTTCAAAGATTTCACCAATATGGCGCTCGTTTTCCGGTTTCCAGGTGCCTATATATATAAGCCGTTAGCAACAGACAGCACAAAAGGGTGCCTCCTGAGACAGGAATTCATTCTAGGAAGAGAGGACAGTTACCTTCAAAATCGTGCCTCACCATGGCCTGCGGATCCTCATAATCCTTAGCCCCCATCTGCCTCACACCAGGAGAAAACCCAGTAATAGGCAAGACCACAACATCGCCAACCTTCTTCGGCACCTCCATACCCGTAAAGTTGCGCCAATCCACAACGGCGCCAGTGGCCTTGATGTCAAAGAACTTCTTATCGTTAAAGTAATCAAAGAGCACGTCGGTCCACACAGCTGGGCCTGTAAACTCGATGACGTTCTTATCCATCGTCTTCAAGAGCGTGCCGTCGCGCTTCCTCTTGAGCGTCTCCTCGGTGATGCGAGCAATGACCTCGCGCAGGGCGGGGTGGCCGGGCTTCGCCTGGATAGTCCATTGGCAGAACTGGATGCGGCGACTATACCACTCAGCCCAGTCCTCGCGGTCCGGGTCAGCCTCGATACCGATGACGAGGCCGACGGACTTCCGGGGGATGGTGGTGGGCACCCACTCGAGGGCGCTCCGGAGGGCGAAAGTGTCAATGTCAGAGTAGATTCCTCCGCGGGCGTAGAGGATGAGGTAACGGAAGAAATCAGCGCGGAGGACAGGTAGCGGGAGGGACTTGTAAGCGTCGAGCACGTCGGGGACGGAGGCGTAGAGGAGGCTGAGGAGTGCGAGGGCCACGTCGTCGGTGATGACCTCGTGGATGAAGCCCGGGTGTTCGTCAGTCCAGCTAGCTTCCTGGTCGCGGAACTCGAAGTCGGGGTCTTGCGGCGTGCGCTTCCACGTTTGCCAGATGTAGGCGGGGAACTTGGACTGGAGGTTGTAGGGGTATTGGTATGCGAGCTGCTCGCGTAGGGGTAATGTTGAGAGGTCGATCATGGGTTTTTGGGTGGAGGGCGGCTCGTTGTCAGGCTGGCTGGCGGTGGTGCCTGCTGCTTGGGAAGAGGCTACGGGCTTCTTCTGGGAGGATTCGGCGCCGTTGGCGGTGGAGGGCTTGGTGGCTGCTAAGGAGGCCTCGGTTTCGTGGGATCTCGTAAGGAGAAAGAGGAGGGTTAGGAGGAAGGCGGCGGCCACGAGGGCCCGGCGGAAGGAGGGCATTGTGTCTGTATCTCGGAGTCCGTGTCGTCCCCGTTCGCGTGCTCCTCTTCGGGTTCGTTACGCTTGTCAATGAGAAGGGGGGGGGGGGGGTTCTAGGAGATAGGTCGTGGGGTGGAAAAGGCTGAATCCGCGAGCACCGATAAAAGCGAATCCGGCAGAGAAGCAAAAGGTTGCCCAGTAACCCTCAACGAGACGAGAAACAGCGATGCTCGTGAATCGTCGAAGAAGAGTTGCAAGACAGAAGGCTAGCTGCCCGCGAGGAAGGGGGTAAACCGGGAAAATGGTCGGTCGTCTGCTATCGAATTACACCATGCAGATAACCATGATGAAAGCAAGAAGAAAATAAAAGGACCGAGACCACGAAGGACGGATTCGATAAAGAAGAAGAAGAAAAATAAAAATAAAATAGAAAACCAAAGAGAAAGAACAGAACAGAAGAAATTAACAGAAGGGAGCGTTGACGGTGAGAAAGAAAAACACGAGAAGACGAAATCCAAGACGCCGAGTCGTCCCCTGGTGACGACTAACTTTTTCCCTGATTTTGATTGTTTCGTTCAGCTGGGATTGGGCGGACTAAGATGAACACTACGCTCTAGTGCTCCCTAGTCTTCCTCTTCCTAGTCCTGCCTCTGCTGCAGGTTGCATGTGGCACTGAGCACTAGCAAAAATCAATCTGAGTTTGGGGGCTCAAACTGCAAACTGGAAACTAGAAACCGACGGGACGCTGAAACAAGGTACAAAGTACACTACTCGGCCGTCCAGCAAACAGCACAGCACTATCGACGCATTATTACATCAACCGTATCAAGATCAATCAAATCAACGGACGAGGTCAAGTATTAATAGGACACGGAAACAGTATTAGTGGACCCTACTGAGGTATAAAGTAATCTTTTACTTGTGGCTAACCCGTATTACTCCCAGGAAACGGCGTTGCCGTCTCGTGTGAGTACGAAGTCTTAGTCGTGACGAAGCATTCTCCCCGCCAAACAATCCGCACCCGATTTAGCGGGCTCTGCGAAGCTAGAGGCAAACACCGAACTCGACCCGTCCTATTGGTTAAAGTTGGGGAGCCGCCCAGAGAGCGACATGGTGAGAGATGGAGATTGAGCAGGTCAGCACCAATGTGCAAGAAGGAACATGAACATTAAAGTAAGATTGACCCTGCAACAGGGCTTGAAGGTGATATTGGCAGACGTGTTAAGATAGTCAGTCGAAACGTCAAGTGCTAATTAGTGTTCAGGGGAAGGGGTACCAATGATGAATTGCTCGTCTTGCCTCGTCCCCAGTCCTCCCCCACGTCCTTGATAATATTACTTCGCCCTCCCTTGCAGTTCAACTGCATCAGTGCTCAACGCCCAACGCTCAACCCCCTTTGATAAGGGCATCTCGATGGGATTTTTTTGGTACAGGGCAAGCATCCTGTTATAACCCTAGTGGACTTTGTGTCCATTTTCCGTTATCAGACAAGCACCAACCTAGTGTAGACCACAGAGTGTCAATCTCCCGAGTGACTTCTCCTCGTATTGACGATACGGGCTTCTGTGGAGTAGCTCATTCGTATTGACCTCTGCTTCATACAAAAATGGATGTTCAAAATCTCATAAACCCGCATGTATCCACAAGGATGTGGAATTGGCTCCGAAACGTCCCCCCGACTTGATCCATTTTCAAAATGAGATCTTTCGTCATCGACAAGGGTTCTGTTCTCAAACGAAGCGGACAAAGATGAAAAAGTACTTCGTAATCGTCGTTACGAATCTTGAATCTCGTTCCCCAGTTCCTGCACCTGTCGTCGCGAAAGCACGCCCTGCAAATCGACGTTGAAAACAGTGGCAGACCAAGCCATCATCTCAAAGTCCACACGAGTGGCTCGTCCCTTCAGTTCGAAACCTGCTTCCAAAATTAGATCTGTGACAGCAAGTTGTCATTCGTCAGTGCCATCGACCACAACAGCGGGTCTTGGAGATAGGCCTCGAGTCATTTCGTACCCCATTTCATCAATCTCTTTGACACCCACCCAACAAGGCCGATCTGATATCTGAAACGTCCGCTCACAGACTACGCTGTAAATCCACCTTCCAAATCTCCGATTTTTCAACCGCACTTCTAGCTCTTCCAAGTTTTTGCTCGTAGATCCTCATTATACAAGTACCATAACCGCTCTTACTTGGGAGCCGCCTTGCGCACACTATTACTCGTCTCACATAGTCGGGAGTGGGATGGCGATGAGACTCTGAGGGAGATTTCAATTCTTTGCCTGGTTGTGATGATATGGATCTTCACGGCAACCACACCCGCCCGGGAGGATCGCCCGAAGCAAAGGGAGCATGGCGGGAGGGTGATCCATTCCTGAATTTCAAAACATGATTCCAACTGCCTAAAATTCGCAGCACGAATTTTTTTTTTTTTTTTTTTTTTTTTTTTTTTTTTTAACCTCGTGCAGTTTCGCAATATCTCTAGTAGCTGTATGTCTCAGTGCTGCTCATATCAAACGGACGACCAAAGACCAGATACTCGTGAGATATCGACTCCGTCCGAACGATTTTTGTTTGGCAACTGCGCTGAGGCGGGAAGCTGTGTTGTCCGTCCATGTTTCAGACCTCAGCCCGGCCGAAGGGAGGTCGGATGAAAATATTGGTTCTTAGTGAGACGAGCAGATCGAGGCTTCTGGAGTTGATGATATCTAGTGTAAATCCTAGTGACCCTTCTCCATTCTGACTGCGTTTTAACTAAGATGATCTCTTCTTTTCCATGTGTCGTCCGACACGCGAGTCCACCAAGAAGCATCCCACGTGTTCTACAACCTTATCTCTCTCCCCGCCGCGTAAGCTTCGATGCTCACGTTTCGCAATCAGTAGATGGCGAAGAGAAGGGAGCTCACTCTGACACATTGGCACAAAACTCTCTAGAAAGGATACCGATATTTCCAAGACCCTACGCTCCGCGCCCCGCGATTTCCAGCAAGCTGAGCCCACGCCATTGCCGTGACGCGGCACCAGCCCACCCAAACGCCTCCGCTTCATCCCCGCAACATCTTACTCGTTACGGGTTGGTGGGAAGTGCCAGCGGTCCTGCTCCGTGATGACAGAAGATGGAAAGATCTTTGGGTGGTAACAGTCAGCCGTGTTGCCCTTACCCACCCGATAGAGGCGCTGCATCAGCTAATGTCGCCCCATGGATGTGGCGGGGAAAGCACCCGGACACGGAACTGGTCTGTTTGGCGTTTCACTCTGTGGCCTTCCGGGAATACAGATATTATTGGCGCGGACTGGACAACTGGCCGGAACTGGGTTCAATTGTGTTAAAATAGAATTTCCCATGGTTTCAAGATGCGGAACCTTCCTTGAATCGACCACAGCCCGAACAAAACACCCGGATGGAAAGCTAATTGCCCGGATCCAGGCCGTGCAGACTTACACACTTGGTATTTCTTGTTTTCGGGTTAGGTGGTGGCGTCTGTCTTTGTCTCAACATCCCCACATGAGGTTCCGGTATCTTGTTTCCATTGAGGTTTTTGAAGACATCTTCAAGTCGACGGAATACGAGGCGGACGAGGAGGGGAAGAAAAGAAAATAACGTAATGAATATAGAAAATGGCATCCGGATATTACCATGAGGGCAAGCTAAGTGCCAACTCTTCGAATGTCCGAAGCATCCTCTTGTAGTTATTTTCGCTTCTCCTTTGGGAAGGCTTCTCTTGATATCATGATGTGACTATTGCTGTTACCGTAGCCTTCTGCACGACTCGGAAGGATCCTGCACGGGGGGGTGCAATTCGCTCGGAACCGAGCGATATAAATGCCTGTGTGTGTGTGTCCCGCAAGCTCACTCCATGTCTGATGTCGGAACATCTGCAGGTAACCGGGTGCAGCTTCAATGCCAAAGAGGTGTCATGGTGGAGGTGCGGCGTCCAGTCAACGACGGGTCACTCTAGAACAGCCGCTTCAAACGAGAATTCGGAACAAAAAGTCCGAGAACGTTCCCATGTCGGAACTCCCGCCATGCCGGGGCCAGCCAGTGTCTAAGTCGCCATTGAGAGATTTTTTTCCTTGTCTTTAAAACAGAGACCCAGGCAGTCCGGTACACGACAGGCGCATGGCTAGCTTTTTACTGCATTTGATTGATGTCTTGGTGATAATCCGACTTTCGGGCTTGGCTAGAATGGGTCGAGGCCGGTTGGTTCCATTAAAGATGGGGATAGTTGTATCCATCCTTTCGAATCGGAGATTCTTGGTCAGAATGTCGAGCTGACATCACTTGGCACACGTTCAACGTTCTTCGAGGTAGCAGCGTCTTTGAGCCCATTTGCCAGCACAGGATTCAGAGGAAGGAGCGGGTTGAGAAGACCTCTTTCCTCCACACAACTTGTTGAGCAACCCGTGATGCAATTGTAGTAGAGGGATTACTCAGCATTGGGATATCTCGATCTTGACCTCGATGCTCAATCATGATGCAATTTGAGCCCTCAACATTTCCGCTCTGCCTTCGCTAAATGATTGTGTCTGCTTTCCCTCAATACCTTCGCTTCCGCCCACCCGGTGCACCTGTCTAACTGTCTAACTGTCCAACTGTCTACTGTCTAACTTATTCACCTATCATATCAAGAATGGTCCTACCGCCCATCCGACTGTTACGGTATTATGCGTTATGTGCTTCTGTCATACATTGACCCAGGGCAAGACCCCAGCTTACAGGATACATACAGCGTGCAGTAGCCAGGCTAGCTAGCACATACGTGCTGGCTCGCTCCTACCATGGCGCACATGATAATGGATCAGAGAATCTAATCGCCAGCAAACCAACAAATAGGCAAGGGCTACAGCTTCAGTGTGAAGGGATGAAAGTGTGAGCGTGGTGCAATGGAGCGGTCATCTGGCAGAGCTAATCGGCAGGACTTCCCTCATCAGGTCTAGCCATTTACCTTCGCCATCAATTAACCCGCTGACCGCGTTGAACACCATTGCCCTGCACCCAAATCCGGATCTTTTGCCATTGTCCAGAAAATGTTGAAAGACAACTCTCTGCCACCAGGCTGTACTGATACAGGATGCCACATCTTGTTGAGATGCGTTCTCCGGTACCGATATGCGGTCACACACATCTGGTCTCCCCCCTCAATGGTGGCCTCGTACATGCTCCGACAGCATCCACCATCCCTCCCTCCCTCCGGGATCGTCGTTGACCTAGGCCAGGGCACAGCGGCCAAAATCTACTACTATTATCTTGAACCCCGCCTTTACCTCCTTCGCGCCTCCGCTTTCCCGTTGACCGTTGATTGAATGTGGCATCAGTCGGGATGCCATCTGACTTGTCCCCCTCCTTGTCTCCGCCCGAGATCCAGGCTGGCCCTCCCGCATAAGGCGTTGGCTCGAGACCTCGAGCTTGCCGAGCTGCTACTACCTTGCGTAGAGCTACCTCTTTCTGTTTGACCTCAACGCCAAAATTTCACATTTTCTTCTCTTTCTGCACAATCCCTCGTCCCCATTGGCTCCCAGTCGCCAAGCCCTAGGAAACTATCCAGGACTTCTGCGCACCTAGATTTTTTTCCACCTCACATGCCGTGCACGCACCTAGAAAAGTTTCTCCTCCGTCCCGCATCCATGGTTCAATTGTTGCATTTTTGATGCTAGATGAGCTGGCGCGGGAATGGGAAATCCAACAGAGTAAGTGCTATCGGAGGCCTCAGGTTGAGCTAACCGAGTTGGTTCGCGGTCAAGGAACGGGACTTTGATGCAGAACCCGAGGAACAATGGTTGGAGATTGGATCATCCAAGCACTCCTGCCGAGTGAAAAGCCGAGCGAAGAGCGAAAGCAAAAGCGTGGGCGGTCATAAATAACACCTTTTAACATCCTCCTGCATCTTTCTGCTAGAGTTTACATCAATTTTTTGCGTGTTACTCCCTGGATCAACTCTTTTTGCTCCGTGACCTTGTGAGAGCTTGAAACAGATGTTATGAGATTTCCCTACCCTTGACGAATGTGGACGCTTGTGGCCTCAGCGGGTTATCAGTCGTTATCACCCCAACCATGAGCAGCACGAGGCTAGCGGACGCGAGGTCCGCGGTTGCAGATAAATTTCGGCACCCTCTGGCGCCGCTCACCGAGCCCGAGTTCCATAGGGCACGAGATATTCTACTTGCCAGCCATGACGACCCCGGCGCACTCTACTTCCGAACTATACAGCTCGAGGAACCGAAAAAGGCAGATCTGGTTCCTTATCTCGTCGCCGAGCATGCTGGAAATCTTTCAGACCAGACACTTAAGCCGCCTCGGCTGGCAAGAATACAGTACGATGTTGTTAAGAGGGAGAACGGGATCACCTTTTTTCAGTACACACAGTCCATCGTGGACTTGAGTTCTAGTCGTGAGCTTAGCAGAGAAGAGTCTCCTGTCGGGAGCAATCCTTCTTTCACAGTGTACGTTGCTTTAATCGGAGTTTGAAGGAGACGGAGGGAGAGAGAATTTGAGCGAAAGAGCCGCTGCTCTCCTTTGAGAGATTGTTAGTCTCACACGCGATAATTTTGTTTTTCTCATTAGGAGCGAATTTGCGGCTTTTTACGATTTGTGTGTCCAGTCTTCCCTCTTTCAGGCGGCCATGTCCGAGTTTGAGCTTCCCCCAAACTTCTCCCTCGCCATTGACCCTTGGCCATATGGTGGACCTGACGACTCAGACCCGTCCGACCGGTATATGCAAGGATTAGTCTTTGCACGCGACGACTCGAGCGGGAATCCCGATGCCAACCACTATGCCTATCCGATTCCAATCATCCCAGTCATGAATTGGGTAACGAAGGAGATCGTGCGGGTCGACAGACTCGCCACGAGCGTCGAACCAGGTACGATATTCGCCTCCCCGCGGCGCAAAGATGACCCTCCCATCAAGCTCTTTGAGGCCAATAAGCCGTCCGAGTACGTCCCGGAGCTTCTCGATCCGCCTCTCCGCAAGGATATGAAGCCTATCAACATCACTCAGCCCCAGGGCGCCTCGTTTACCGTCCACGAGGACAATCTTGTAGAGTGGCAGAAGTGGCGCTTCCGCCTAGGCTTCACTGCTCGCGAAGGCGCCGTGCTCCACGACCTATGCTACGACGGGCGTCCCGTACTCTACCGCCTTAGCTACAGCGAGATGGCCGTTCCCTACTCCGATCCCCGTTATCCTTTTCACAGGAAGCAAGCTTTTGATCTGGGCGATGGCGGCGTCGGCCGCGCTGCTAACAATCTCGAGCTTGGCTGCGACTGCCTTGGTGCCATTCACTACTTCGACGCATTGCTTGTAGGCCAACCGGATGGGACGCCAGAGGTCTCGCGGTCGGTAGTTTGTCTCCATGAGCAAGACAATGGCATTGGATGGAAGCACACGAATTTCCGAACGTCTCGCGCTGTCGTTGCAAGGTTACGGGAGCTAGTCGTGCAGTTTATCGCGACGCTCGCGAACTACGAGTACATCTTTGCCTTTAAGCTCGACGTAGCTGGGAACATCACCATCGAGACCCGGGCGACCGGTGTAGTCAGCGTCGTGGCCGTCGACCCGAATATCAAGACTGCTCCATATGGCGCCCTCGTCGGTCCTGGTGTCCTCGCGCAGAACCACCAGCATGTCTTCGCCGTGCGGATCGACCCAGCCATTGATTCGTACGCCGAGACGGACACCGTCATCATCCAGGAAGAGACGCTAGCCCGACCTCAAGACCCGCAGACAAATCCCCAGGGGAACCTGTATATTATCGAACGAACTGTGGTATCGAAACCAACGGGAATCATCGCCGAGCCACGCAACAACAGAATCGTACGCCTTGAGAACGCGCGTATCAAGAATCCCATCACGAGCAGGAATGTGGGCTACAAGCTCGTTCCGTCACCGACGCAGCTTCTTCTCGCCCAAGAGGGGAGTATCCAGGCGAGGAGAGCTGGGTTTGCGTCGAGACACGTCTGGATAACCGGGTACAGGGATGGCGAGCTCTGGGCGGGTGGGGAGTTTACGAATCAGAGCCGGAATGAGACGGGAGGTGTTGTGGATATGGCGGCGAGGACGGGTGATGTCCTTGCGGATGTCGGTCAGAATGGCGAGGAGGGCAGCGCGATGGCGGGAGCGAGGAATCGGTGTGGACCGGTTGTATGGGCTGTGTTTGGATTGACACATAACCCGAGGATGGAGGATTGGCCGGTGATGTAAGTTTGCTTCCTCCGTCTCACGCGCCCGTTCTTAACTTACGTCGTGGTGGACTGACGATTCGAGTAGGCCTGTCGAGATCCACCAGATGATTCTCAAGCCAGCCGACTTCTTTACGTCGAACCCGGCCATCGATGTCCCTTCTTCCAAGAACGAAGCCAGTGTGCTCGTCGGCTGTTGCAAGCCTGGTGAGAATGGCGTTGTTGACGGCAGGAACGGGACACTCAACGGGGCATGCCATGGATCGGTAAACGGAACAGATTGAGCGACTTGTTTGAACTATTCAGACTTAACTTTTTTTCCCCCCTTTTCTTTTCTTATCCCTCTCTGGGAATCGATTTTCGAAAGTATGGAGACACATAGTAAAAGTGGAGGATTCCGCGTAGATTGTCAACAAGATTAGAAAGACAAGAGAAGATCAAATGTATATACCTCGGTATTGATGGTATGACCAATGAGCCGTAACTCCATTTCTATGCAAATATCTAAACACAATTCCTCCGTATAAACCAAATTTCCTTGTCGCTTTGACATGACCGAATAGAAGTAGAAAAAAAAGAGAAAAAAAGAGAAAAAGAAAAAAAAAAAAAGGTTGATGCTCCCACATACGCAAAGTGCTGCTGAAGATATCGCTGGCAATGCAATCAAACACAGAGGCCCACCTTCCCCAGACCCCAAGCTAACCTTTCCAGGCCCAGGAAAAACCTCACCCTTCCCACCTCCACTCCACCTCGCTACACCGCTTTCTTAAGACGACACACCTCAATCCTCAACCCAAGAACTTCTTCAAGTTCCCCCCAATGATCTCCAAATCCAACAAAAACGTATCATGCCCAAACATGCTCGCCTCCTCGCTAAGCTCATAATGAGTCACGCGCCTATTCCCCGCCAGGGTCAACGCGTCGGCGATCTCCCTCTGCTGCCAGGCGGGGAAGAGGATGTCGCTCGCGACGCCCATGACGAGGGTGGGGATGTTGCGGAGGGGGGCGAGGCCGCGGATTAAGTCGTCCGGGGGTCTCGAGCCCTGCGGTTCGACTGTGGGGTTCGGGGAGGAGTGTTGGTCGGCGTTATGGTTGGTGAGGAATTGTTCTTGTGTTTCCTCGTAGGGCTTGTCGGGGAGGGTGAGGGTGCACTGGAGGTCGGAGGAAGAAGATGGGGAGTAGACACCAGCTCGGAGGAGGCCCTCACGAGCGGCGCGGCGGTTGCGGGTCGCGATTTGGTTCTCGATTCCCAAATCGAAGAGATCCATCGCTTTGCTAACGTACAAGAGACTGTTAGGATCATACGTGAGGCAGAACTTCTCCCCCGCGTAGTCAAGGTAAGTCTCGATGAGGAAATCCGGGCAGAGGGCGGGCGGCTTGCTAGGATCCGCGCGCCTCCGACCGAAGCGCTGTTCCCACTCCGGACCCGATCGATACGTCACGGTGGCGATCTGCCTAGCGAGCTTCATGCCCGCATGGGGTGGCACTTTCCCGTAGTAGAAGCCGCGGTTCCAGTTGGGATCCATCATGAGGACCTGGCGCTGGGTGTGACGCATGGCGATGCTATAGGGGTGGCTCCGGGCGCAACCGCTAATGGTAGCGATGCGGGAGACGCGATCGGGGAAGAGCGCCCCGGCGGCGAGAGACTGCATGCCGCCCATGCTAGAACCGACGCTGGCGTAGAGCTTCTCGATGCCTAGGAAATCGAGAAGGCGGAATTGGGCACGCACCATGTCTTCCATGGTCAAGATGGGAAACCGCGTGGCGTAGTGGTCCCCATCAGCCGGGTCGATGCTACAGGGTCCCGTCGAACCATAGCACCCGCCAATGACGTTGGTGCAGATGACATGGTACTTGTCCGTGTCTAGACTCAAACCGGGACCGATGAACTTTTCCCACCAGCCCGGCTTGGGATTCACTTTCGTCGAGTGCGCGTGCGAAGACGCCGATAAGCCCGTGTGCAGGAGTATGACGTTGGACTTGTCGGCGTTCATCTCGCCCCACGTCTCGTAGGCGATGTCGAATTCGGGCAGCACACCGCCCCAGTCGAGGAGGAGCGGCTGGTCGCAGTGGTACTTGAGGGCCGCGCCGGAGGTGTAGGAGGGTTCGGGCCCGCTGGAGCTGCGGCTTGCTTCGAGGTTGGCGGAACGGGATTCGATTTTGTCTAGGCAGGGGAAGGCCATGGCGGGGTTGGATGCTATGCTGGGGCTTGCGACGCCGCTGCGGACGGCTTGGGTGGTGATGGGGCGGCGGGCAGCAGAGGCCCGGGCAGAGGAAGTTGATATGGGGGCATTGTGAGTGAGATTGTGTTGGGAGGGAATTGAGAGAGGCTGTCGCCGAGATCGGGCGCCGCGCACGGCGGATTGTAGAAGCCTCTGCCCCTTCATGGGAATGGAGTTGGCTGTGTTTGGGAGTGGTTCTTTAAGTGGTCGCGTGTGTAGGGGTTGCTCGTGTAAGTCGAGGAAGATGGAAGCACTCGTTCAAACAAGAAGGGAGCATGAAGAGGCAATTACAATCACAAAACACCAACCCTCGAGGACATGACCTTCGAGAGAAACTTCAAAAACAGCTTAGAAATCACAAGGGAAAGAAATTACACGAGCTGGGGAGGCATTTTACCGTTTCGAGGGCTGCCCCTGCCCATTGACACGGGATGCTTAGAAAAGATGGGGAACCTGGGCGATGATGTGCTTTCACGTGGCGATAAGGATGGTGGGATTTCTCTTATCGGACTGCAGGTTTAAGCGGGTGGGGCGCTTCATTGTGCGCAATGCAGGCTAAGACGCCATTGGCTTGTTTGACAATGGAATGTAGCTGATGACATAATCCGATTGTTCGGGCATGACGTAAGTCGCCAGCGAAGAGTGACGTGGTTGGTGATAATGTCGGAAAGAGCTGTCCAACATGCTTCAGAAATAGCAACCGAACCAGAAGAAGGTCATGACGCTAGCAATCGCGGCCGCCAAATGTGGAATCGTCCCGCTGCCGGTATCCAATGATACTGATGCTCGATGCCATTATCATGAACTGTATGAGGTATTGGGCCATACAAGTAGGAACCAAAATGCCGTCAGGTACGGTTATTCGCATTCCTATGAGGGTTCTAATTACTTGTATCGGCAGAGTGGTGCGTTTCTGGTAACGTTCGCATGTGCTACAAAAGTCCCATTTCAATAGGTAACAACATCACACCTCATTCCCGAGCTACTTCAACGTAGTTTGTGATCCTGTCTTATCACCAGCATCAGGCACTACCAATTGGGATGATACAGCGATTGCTCAATAACGTCCCCCGCGCCCTCGTCTCGTAGATTCCGTGCTACACACCCAGTAATTACTTATCTTGCTTGCTCCCAACATCTCCCTCACTCACCTTCAACTGCCCAATCCTTGGAGATCACCAGAGCTCGCATCTCGCCAAGCCCCGATGTTCAAACAAGCATACGACTACATCCTCCACCAAATCGAAGCCATGAGTCTCTCGAGCCCGAAGCAGGACGGACCTTTTGAGCCGTCGCCGATTGATGTTCTCGTCCTCAAGGCTATGATCCAAAAAGCTAGGGTCCTGCCTCCCGAAATCGTCGATAGCATCGTCGAGTTCGCAGAGTACTGGCCATGCTCGCATAGCTACGTCGACTATCGCAATCCCGTTACGGGCCACGAGTCCAAGGCGTTTAGACAGGATGCTAATACCATGCTGGTGCGTCCCTCTCCCGGGGCCCTCCTCTTCGTCCCTCGATCTGACTTGTAATGAAAACTAATTGGAGCCGTCTTCTTTGTTTTATTGTTTTTAGATCCGCACACCACCCGTTGGATTCCGTAACCCGTTAACGGACCGTTATGCGACTGACGGAACTATCCCGGCAGAGGTCATGAGGAAGGAGTGCGAACCTAAGCATTTTGAGCAGAGTCTCGGCGAAGCCATGCCTCTTCTAAGGAACCCCGTTCGGAAGATTGTGTTTACCATCAAGAGCCGCGATCAAGGCTGGGGCGGCGGAGCCAATGGCGCTACGTATCACGGGTCGTACACTTGGTTCGAAGCCGGGCTGGAGCGGTTCGACCCTGAAGGCAAATGTCAGTTGCTGTGACCAGTTGAGCTTTCCGGCAAGAACGCTTATTTTGACTATTCTTTTAGGCATCGACGAGGAAGAGGGAAAAGCATGCAGCCACCGCCCAGTCGACAAGCCGGACCATTTCCTTCCATACTGCAAGCTCAGATCGGTATACCCCGAGCCGGCACTTATGGTCGACGGCCGAATCCACCTCCACCACCCGCTTCTGCCGGACTCCAAGCACCTCATCCAGTGCAACAAGGTCGCGGGTCGATCGCCGATGACGCACACCATTACGTGGAGCTGGCTCGATGACATCGATCCCAAGTCTGACGAGGCCGACGATCTAGTGTTGTTCGGAAGGGGGAAGGAGACGGGCGACGGGGAGTTCGTGAGGAATTTGAAGGTCGGGGATGTCATTACTGTGTGGGCCAAGACGAGGTTTCCGGGGTGGGTGAACAATGTCTACAGCGTCAAGGTTGATGTGTACTGGGCGGTGTAGGTTGGGGATTGTGACATGGCCATGGTCGTTTCCACGGCCATGACTGAGGGGCGAGAGCCGGATAGCGTTGTATTATTGACAGGGCGTTGGGGTGTTTGATGCCATTAGCGTTGATACCGATATTCCTCGCATGGGAGGTTTATTCCAATACATTTTTTTTACACAATGGCGTAGGCAACTCTCGTGTATAAGCATGCTCGCCTGGGATGTTAATATTCAAGCTCGAGGTGATCCTCATGATCGTCATCCCCCTATTTCTGAATTACAATGGGATCTAATGCCAGTTCAGGACTTCTCACGTGAACGTCAATAATTCCACTTCGCAGTTTCCCAAGTCATACAAATATTATGTTGAGCTGACGTCGATGGAGCAAGGGTCGCTCGGGGTACGCGACCATTGTCAAAAGATCAATTCAATCAATCAATCTGAATCGCGTGGTGGCGCAATGCTTCAGGTGCACAAGTGCACGAGTGACTGGAATGCAGAGAAACCGCACATATCGGACTCAAACTAACTCCCTCGACCTAGGCACCAACATCCCCTTTTTGGAGTAAATATCAACAAGCCAGTATTGACTTGGTTTCTAGTCTCTTTTTCGACATTTCCCAGCTACAGAACATTGACTTTCACTGTTTCAAAGAGGAACGAACTCTCAGCGCCCCTTGATATAATACTCCATTACTTCGCGTACAAAGATGTCAGTCTTATGGTATGCATATCCGCCTCTCCATCCCGAGATCCTCACAAACTATTCTGCCAAGCTCCTAACACAGATCGATTTAAAACAAAAATAGTCAACAAGGCTGCGCCGAGTGGTCGGCAAACCGCGTCTTCCTCTGCGGCCACCCGCAACAACTGCTCGACACCGAATGCTTCAAGACGTTCTGCGCCGTCGCAGAGGCATCTCATGATAAAAGGTGCGGCGGCCAACCACGGAAAGCCGTCCTCGGCTCGAAGAAGCTGAATGAGCCTTGCGGCGAGTGCAAGGAGGAGAAGAAGTGGAAATTGTGCAACGGTGTGTGGGCGCAGTTGTAGCGCCTGCAGGAACTAGAAATGGAACTGGACAAACCCGCATGGACTGAGATCAATTGATTGATCAATTGTTCCCAGCGACCAGCGACCAGCTCCAAGCCAGACCTGATCGAGAGCCAGCAGCCTGGCGTTTCATGCACCACGCGCCTTAATAAGCCTCACCTGATACAGGCACCTGCAGCACGAGTTACACCGTTGGCGCCTGGAGCGAGGCGCTATTTACACCACTCTACACTATTACAACCGTCGACAGAACCAGCATCATCAATTGAGACGGCCGTGATTCTGGCCTCGACTATCCATGATGTGGATCGATGACGGCCGTTTGCGTCACCAACCCATTCCAGAATCACAGCCGACTATTATTTCAACTTTTTTCCTTTTGTCTTCTTTATCTCCCTAGACTGGGCTGCGGGAAAGAAGGAAAGAGCGTCTGGCCATCCTTCTCCCTGCATAAATAGCAGAGGATGTCGTCGAGGTTTGCCCGTGGAATTGGAATTCTAAGCTCACCCAGCCAAAGCAGAGCGAACCCAAATCCTTTCCGAGTTTTCAATCATTGTTCATCTTTCCAAAGGCTTTCACACCGAGTACGCCCCAACATCGCGACGATGACGACCTTTACGCATAAGCAGCTCGATATACCCGTAACCCTTCCCGAGGGCCTTACAGAGACTGAGATCTCGACCTTTAAACCATTCAATGTAAATCTCCCACTTCAAATTAAGAAATTTAATTAGTCTCTGAACGAATCACAATCCCAACGTTACCTGACCAGTAACCAAGACTTACACTTAGTGCATGTATGAAATCTAACTGCTAACTTCACTCCAGAACTGGCTCACGACGCTCACCAACTCCCTCAAGCTCCAAAGCACAAACCCCAACCACCCCTTCCACGCAGACCCCTACACCCTGCACTCCATCACCATCCAAGCCGTCGACCGCTTCGCCAAAAACCGCCTCGGCTTCGTCAAACTCGCCGCCACCCTCGCCAACGCTGCCGGCGAAAAGCTGCCTAGCGCCGTGTTCCTCCGCGGACCCAGCGTCGCCATGCTCGTCCTCCTCGTGCCCGATGACGCGCCACCCGAGTCCGATGAGCGGTATGCTGTGCTGACGGTTCAGCCGCGCGCAGCGGCCGGATCCTTGGCTATGGTGGAGCTACCCGCGGGAATGGTCGATGACGGATCTTTCTCTGGCGCCGCGGCGAAGGAGATCCAGGAGGAGCTTGGTATCGAGATCCCAGAGTCTGAGCTCACCTGTCTCAGCGATCTTGCGAAACCTGCGGACTCCGGAGAGGAGGCGTTGCCTTTGGCGATGTTTCCTTCGCCGGGGGCTTGCGACGAGCATATCACCATCTTTATGCATGAGAAGCGTGTTGCGCGGCATCAGTTGAAGGAGTGGAGCGGCAAGTTGACGGGTTTGAGGGATGAGGGGGAGAAGATTACGTTGAAGCTCGTGCCGATGAGGGATCTTTGGCGGGAGGCTTCGAGGGATGCTAAGGCTCTTTGTGCTGTGGCCTTGTGGGAGGGTCTGCGGAGGGAGGGTAAGCTGTGAAGACTCTAGTGTTTACGAAATGATGAGATCTTATGAGAGGCCGCGACGGCCGCGTAGACGGAGGCATATTCTCTCTTAGTCCCATAAATGTGTCTAGGCAATACATACATTTTAAACAATTGTTTCTAAAAGTGCATTTTCTAAAGTCTAAACTTCTTGGCCAACTCGACCCCCTCAGCGAGAGTGCCCACCCGCGCATCAATGGCACAGCCCTCGGCCTCGAGACGCTTACATTCCTCCCAGAGCTTCGACAGAGGCACCACGAAGACCTCGATGAACTCGTCCTCCTCGAGCGCCGGTTTGGGGTTCTGGTTCTCGGGGAGGGACATGTCGACGGTGAGGTGGACCATGCGTAGATTCGTGTTACAGAAACCGGGGTCTACATGGGGAGGCAAACCGAATGAAAAGGAACACGTTATGAGCTACAGTTTCTGGGGAGGTTTAAAAAGGGGGGGGGAATGGACTTGCCGTTGAACATGATGGGAGAGGTGGCGATGGGAACGCCGACGTATCCCGTTTCTTCTTTTAGTTCCCTGATGGCGCATTCTTCGGCGGTTTCGGATGGGTCGATGAGGCCGGCGGGGACTTCGATGGTGACTTTTTCAACGGGGGGACGGAACTGTTTCTGGAGGATAATCTCGGGGCCTATGGAGAAGGACGCGGGACGCACAAAATGAGTAACAAGAATGGGAAAGAAATATGGAAGAGTTGTTACTCTTCTGCTAACCTGTAGGCTTCTCTAGGATCGCGACGATGCCAACGCCATCAATATCGCTGCCTTGAGGACGCGTCGTGCGCTCGGCTGATTCCCACGTCCGGGGCTGGCCATGGGCGTCTTGATACTTGATCCTAAAGGTATCCAAGGAGGCAATTGAGCTTCTTGTCTCGCTGATGAGTCGGTTCGGAGCCCAATGCTACGTACCTGACCAACTTTGTCCATACGGCGTCCTTCTCGGGCTGCGGCGCGGGGTATGGTCAATTCAGCTTCAATTGCGGTCTTCGTTATTGGTCTTTTAGATCGAGAAACTTACGAGGGGCTCGCGCTCCGTGACTTTGGAATTTGAGAGGGACATTTTTTTTTTCTTTTCTGGCTTGGAATAAAATACCTCCGGTGTTGTTGAAAATGAGAGAAGCCAGATAAGGAAACGTGAAGCTTGAAGTTCAGTCATTGATGGTGGGGTAAAAAGTGCCCCGCGCCGAAAGTGGAAAACGCGCTGCTGCCGCTGAAGCGATTTGGGCAGTTGGATCCGATGTTGGATTCGGACGTCCCGGCGAGGAAGAGTCGCGAGACAGTGGAAATGGGGAGGGTCTTCAATTGCTCCAATTTAAATCTAGGCTTACTTTGAGGGCATGCCTCAATTGATCTTGCCAAGGTTCATTCTAAGCCAAACTCACCAGTGTCATTGATAAGCTGTACACAGATCATCACAAGCCTTGGCCAAGGGTGAGAGAATAGAAACATTCAAGTCGACAGACCCAAGTCCGCAGACTCGAGACTTAAACTTCATAAATTCATGACCAGGCATCAACTAGGTAGGTAATCCACAAAGCTCTCGTCTCCCAAAAACGAGGCATCTTCCAACGCCGTGCCATAATGTAAAAGAGCTATATATGCCTTGGAACAAAGAAAGGATGAAAACACTCCGAAAACCTGCAAACGACCCCCTTGACGCCCCGTATTGCCCCCACAAAAAACCGTAGAAGAATTTTTCATTTGTTTGTCTTTTTGGATTTCCCTCCGAGCCATCTGTCAAGCCCTAATGCGCCTAGCTGTGTCGTGCTGCTGCCTGTGCAAACTGCTCCGCCTGTATCCTCTCCAGTTCTTCCAGCGACAACCCGCTCTGTGCGAGTTTATCACCCCTCTTCTCACGGCCCTATGAATCCAAGTTAGCATATGATAATCGACAATGGCAAAAGATCCGAAAAATCCCAGTAAAAGAAGGAGGGGGGGAAGCATACCTTTTGGACTTCCTTGTGCTCAGCCGCCGCCTCGACGACGGCGGGCACATAATCGGAGAAGCCAAGTTGCTCGAGTGCTTTGGTGATGTGGTCGCAGGCAATCGTCTTCTTGGCCTCCTTTTCGGAGATCTCGTTGGCTTCGGAGGAGATGAGGGTGATGAATTCGACACAGCATTCTATGAGGAGATCGCGAGCTTCCTTGGAGAAGCTGCAGCCGCTGGAAGGTGGGAGAATTTCTGTGACGATTTTTTGGACGGTAGCTAGATAGATTTAGCGGATGGAAGTCGTTATAGGGAGAGGCAAGGTGCTTGACTTACCCTTGGGAAGGCTGAGCTCGTCGTTTGCTAGGAGATTTAAAGTTAGTATTTAGTATTGAGTACCTTCTTAGACGCCTATGCAGTAGCAAGTGTGTGAATGAGGACGGTAGGGAGTCACCCGACGCCACCTTTCGCGTTTGGATCAGGTCAGGCTGAATGATGGATTGGAAAAGAGCTCCATCTTGCACTTTGAAAGCACAAAACCATCCCCGACCAGTGCAGCCAATTTGAACATGGCTATAGAGGACAAGGCAGAGACAGAGCTGTGCTGCAGCGCAGGAAAGGGAGCAATGCAGGGTGTAAGTGTAAGTGGAAGTGGAGCCAAGATCATTAAATAATGAGCCGCACTAGCTAGCCCTGGAACGTAGCGCAACTGCGCAAGTGCCACGGCCACTGCCACTGCCACTGCCACTTCCACTGGCGGCCCAACGGCATGGCCTGAGTTCAAGAAGGCCCAACCCTCAATAGCCACGCGTAGACTAATGACGACAACAACAGATAAGAGAAACATTAAACATCAAACATCATACATACCGGTAAACTCGTGATCAGACATCATAAAGGATTCCAGCAACGGTCTCTGGTCGTCGTAGTGGTTGTCGGTAGCTTCCCAGAGGACAACACTATTGGGTAGCGTCGACTGCGGGGCCTGTAGTGTCCTCGGGCGACGCGAAATAGCAAGGATCCGTGGGTGTGGGTGAAGAAAGGGACCTTCGGGTCAGAGGCACTGGGAGGAGTAAAAAAAGAAAAATAATATGCACTCCTTTGGAAAAAAACGGTCCCCGAATTCCCAACAAGCTCCCTCGACAAGAATAAAAAAAACCTCCTTTTGTTTTTCCTTTTCTTTTCTTCTTCTTTTCGCTTTGTTAGTGAAGAACGCAATGATTCGATATTATGTCGGCCAGGACGCGTCCGGTTGCTCTGATGAGATGTCGGAAAAGGTTATTGATGTAATACAGGAAACGAGATTCGAGGGGAGCTATCAGACTCGCGAAAATGTGTGTGAGGGGCCCCGAGCTTTTAAAGTTGGAGACGCCTTCAGATCAATTTGGGCAACCCCCCGGCTACAATGTACAAACTACAAAGGGGCTCCAAGACCTTGGGACTCATTGGGAGAGATTTTGGAACGGCTGCCTGGTCTGTGTGACCTGTTTGCCTGTTTTCAGGTGGCGTCAAGTGGCTAAGATGAAAATGTTGGTGGGAAGAGAGCCTCAGAGGTGATCGCGCACGGGCCACAAGGGTCTCCAGTCCAATAAAAGAGATTTCGTCGCAGCTTTTTTTCTTGGAGGCCAATTTTTTCTTCTTCCTTCGCCTCCATAGCAGAGCCTCAAAGCTTTCCCTTCAACGGTGTGCTCGAAAGAGAACCCAATTCTTTGCTCGCGCGGCTTCCGTCCGTGTATCATTTAAAAGGATGGCTCGTTTATTTGTTTGCTACTCGTAGCATTCCCGCTAACCGGCTGCTATCCTTGCAAGCTCCTGGGAGCCTCATTCAGGTAGGCAGGCAATCCTTCCAGATTCCCTTACTCTATACTCGACGCACTACATGATGAGATATGTTGTCGCCCCAGGCTTACGAGGCTGCGGCCTCTGTGGTGATCGACTTGTCAAGCCAAACAGACGTTTCTGATGGTGCTCTCGAACCCTGTCATTGTAACCGGATACGCTACGAGGATAAAGCTAACTCGTTTCAAGTTCCCAGAACGAAGCCTTTGACGGCGGCCTGTTCCTGTAAGCGTCTCCCGGTCTTTCTACGTCTCACAGCCGGAAACCACATGATGTCGAAGAATTCTTCAATGTGCTATCAAATACCGATTATTTGATGACGGATTCATGAAGCCTGATCAACCTCTTCCGGCTGCCACGAGTTTTCAATGGACCATCCAAAAGAAATCTTCGATACTAATTCTGGTCTCAAATAGTGGTGTCATGATGATCCTGCTCAAGACCCGGTGGGCTCCATGGAAGACTCGACGCTGATCATGGAAACTCTTTCATCTTCAAGTAAGGTAGGGCAAAAACTGGCTCTCTTTCTGTCTATTGATATATTTGGTTCATGATGCAACCCGATTTCCATGCTAATACTGAAATCCACGTGTGGATTAAAAAATCGAGCTTTTCATCTTTCGTCTGACTTGACCCCCTATTCTTCGTCTTACTCTTGTCTTTCCAAACTATGTCATAAAGACCAAAACTAACTCGTGCAAAGTCTGTAATAGATATTTATTCGTCTCTGTAGGGAGCCAGCTCTGGCCCCGTCACCCTATTCTTGTTGTTAGCAGGCGTGCGTGATCCGCGCATCTAAGCATCTGGGACTGTCGGTGGGACGACGCACTTTAAGAACTTTCCGGTAAAATCCCGCCGCGGGTTGACCACAAAGCGGGCTATCGTATGCCCAGGCACCTCTGGTTTCAACAAGTCGCCCTTCTCGAAGGCATCCTTAAAGCCTTGCAAGTCTCTGGGCTTCATCGCATCGCCGGCCTCGCGGATTAAACGCTGCATGTCGGTATCGACTCTCCCGGGGCTGAAGCTGACGCTCGTAATATCGGGCTCCTCCACCGCAAGGTGTCCAGTCAAGGAATGGAGGGCGGCCTTGGAGCTTCCATACGCACCCCATGCCGTGTAGCAGGATACCGCTGCTCCCGAGGATACCCATGCCACACAACCCTTGGACTTGCGCAGTTCAGGAATTGCTTCTTTGAGCTGTGAACCGGCTGTTAGTGTCTTCCAAGCGGAAGCGGGACTTGGAGAGGACATACTAGCCCTAGTGCGCTGAAGAAGTTGATGTCGTAGAGCTTCTTCCATTCCTCCAGGCTAGCGTCCTCGACTCGGGCAATAGGAGCTAGGACTCCGTGGTTCACCACCAAGCCGTCGAGCTGGCCGAATGCGTCGACGGCGAGCGAGGTCAGTTTCCTACCAATCTACGCTACTTGTTAGTGTTGTCGGTCGTGGTAGACGCTACGACGGAGCGGACGGGAGCAATCTCTCAGGAGTGTCGTTTCTTCTTGCCTCTGGGTCTGTAATGTCACCGGCTACAAATTCAACACGACCCGGGTAATCTGCCTTGAGCGATTCCAAGGGGTCCCGGGATCGTGCTGTAACCACTACGCGGTGGGATGAGTTTAATAGCCATTTAGCGACTGCTAGTCCGATGCCTCGACTGGCGCCCGTAATAATAATTACTTTTGAAGGCATTTTGAGCCGAAGTAACTTTGTGTTCCTTGCGATATGTGAGGTTGACATGTGCTGCGGGTTGCGTTGTAGTGGGGTTAATTGCAATTATGAGGAGACTTTGATGTCCAGAGATTGCACGTGATCCGCTGACGAGAGATTATCTCATGGACGACACTTTCTTCTACTCCAAGCATTTCTAAGTTAAGTCAACACCTCAGTTTGAAAGTTTACTGTTTCTCGGAGTTATTACTATTATCATTCTGGTTGTATTTTCTTCTGGTTTTACTATTTATTTACTTCCCTGTGTACGCACCGGACATTATTTATCTCTGGATTTTTTTTTTCCGGACTTATTATTTCAGTCGAAGAGAGTGACTCCATGTTGTTCCCTCAAAGTGAAAGTGTGAAGTAATGGAGAAGGAGCGATCATGGCGTGGGAGCTCTTTCCTCGGTCGAAGTTTCGAAACATCAATGATGCATTCCAGAGTTTATCTTTAGCCTTCTTCCTCCAGGTTCTTCATGCTCCCCTCCCTTCCACACACCCTATCCTCATTCCTCATACTTCCATCAATATTTGCCATCCTGGCCGTCCTCTCAATCAGAATACACGCATCCACCACAAGACTCAGCATACGGCATGGCCGTGGACGTTTCTCCCCGACTCCTTGCGGAGTTGCCGCCTGCTAAACTCTCAATAGATGAAATCTGGATTCATCACCCAGGTTACCCCGAGTACTCAAACAATCTGCTGTCCTTTCCCCGGGTCGAAAAAGTAAGGGATTCGGACGCATTGGGTGTGCGCCATTGGGTGATCCTGCTCGCGTGTCAGATAGTGGCCGGAAACTCCTTTGATGCTGGTTACTTGACATTGGACAGAGATGGCCGGCACCGTGTGACCACAAGCCCGGACGGTTTGTTGACGGAGAGCAAGTATTATTTTAGAATCCCCGATCTTGGTACGTAAAGTAGCCGGTCAATAAGTTCGCGCATTTTTTGCTAATTTTTTGTTATTAGACGAATACCCCATCGTCCCAAGCTTCCAAGATTGGCAATTTCCGCATCACCGTATCCCGGACTCATGGACAGACACCTTGGGATCGGATGATCGCACGACCAGTCGCTGTGGCATAACCAATGTTTCTTACGCCATTAAGAGGGCGCATCTCATTCCAAAAGAGGAAGAAGATTGGTTTGCCAACAATGGCATGGTGCGATATGGAGCCGAAAAGAACATTGACGATGAGGCAAACATCCTCCCGCTGAGAAAAGATCTGCACAAATGTTTTGACGATAAGTGGTTTGCTTTTGTCCCTGATATCGTCGAAACCGGCAGCGAGGAGGCGGCCTCTCCATACGTGTCGTGTATTCTTTCTATGCCGGCAGCTCAACTGTGGCCTACCTACCATAACATTATTGTACGGCATCTCCACCCACGCTCCCGCCCTCACCTTTTCGCTCGTTTTGCCTGGGCTGTACTGTTGAAGGTCAAACCGTTCGTCACCTCCGGCCCTGCGCGAAAAGTTATTCGTCTTTCCTTCAACGATAAAGGCGAGGCGGAGTACAACATCGAGAGGCTCACTACGACGGAACTTCGACGTCTTTACGGCGGTGGCGGGCGGCGTTCTGTCTCCGCGCGAGGGAAGAAGAGAAAGCGTGGCACAGATGATACAACACAAGATGAGAGTGCCTTTCCGTCATCCGATGATGATAACGATATTGATCTCGACGAGGATGGCCCCTGGAGTGAGACAGAGAGTGGGGACGGTAAAGATATCATTTCTGATATCAAACTGGAGCCAAAGGGAAAAGTCGGGGTAGAGAACAGATTTTCCGACGACATGCTACGTATGATCAGTACTTAGGTACTGTAAAGGCAGGAGTTGACGGATTTCCGCGCTGAGATGATCGAGCTTCTGCATCAAGACCTATGCTGCATTAGACGTTCCTAGATTAAAATACGAATTCCTACCAAAGCTGACTTTCGAAAAGAAATTCGGGATGAAGAAATCCCAGTATGGCCCATGCGATCCGCGTTTGAACCCCGTTTGTGCAACATTACCCTAGGCAACAGTCTTCGAGTGCTCATTGGGCAGCCGCTCTCTCGACTTCCCAGCCACAATAAACGACTTGGGCAGGAAAGGGATACCTCCTTTTGATGCTTCCCTCCTTTTCTTCTTCTTCCACCCCCGTTTTTTTTCTTCACAGAGCCCGAATGTCACCAACTCCTAGACCGTCTTACCTGGCCTATGTCCTGGCTAAGTTTCTGGAAGGGGGCTACCTGAATCTGTGCGGGAAGCAGAGGGTCTCTTAGCCCCATAAGGCTGGATGGTATAAATCGGAAATGGCTTCTTCGCGCCGGAAGAGAGACATCTACTTCCATGCCGACTTCAACCTTCGGCACCTTCTCAAATTAGCGGAACGGCTCCGAGGTCGAGGGTGCACCTGTAACGAGTCTCAATCACCCAAATCAGGAGCGTTCAACTTTGTGATATTTCTTGAGTTCGATGATGGCGTAGAGTGGGGGTTTCGGGCTCCGTCCTCAAGATATGCTGCTGCTCTTCAAGGGGATGCCGCTGGCCGTCTTCTGGCTAGTGAGGCCGCTACCTTGAAATACATCCGGGAGCACACCTCTATTCCTGTACCGGAGGTTTTCCATTACTGGTATTTTATTCAAGCCTTAGGCTACATGTAGTGTCTTGAGCTAACAGCTGACAGCGCCTCCCACGAAAATGATATCGGAATTCCATATATCCTAATGAGCAAGGCCTGTGGCCATCCCCTTGGGACGTTCGACTGGCGAACACATACCCATGAACTCCCCAAGGCGAAAGGGTTTTCGACGCCGGAACGAGTTTTGTCAACAGAGGAGAAAGAAAAGATTCTGCGACAGCTTGGGCGCTACGCTCGCCAGCTATTTAGCCTTCGTTTCCCTTCAATAGGATCACTGTTTGAGGGTGATGAGGGCTATTACATCGGCGAATGTCTTTCCCCGGGACACGTCCTCTCGTCCCGCGAAACGATTGAGAATCTCCCGCGTGGCCCATTCTCTAGTGAAGAGGATTATTACCTCTCTCTCGCCACAGCGCTTCGGCGACATGCCGAAGAACTTCCAATGGGCCACCATGTCCTTCGTGCGCCCATCCCCGTCCCGCAAGAATATCCCACCTACGCCAAATACTACACCGCGACCGATCGCTGGAATGATTTCGCGACCCTTGAAGGGATAGTAGAATCGAGCGTAAATCGATTGCAATATTGCCTCGCGAGCGACGTCCTTCGCGACTCCATTATCCCCCATATGATCCGTCCTACCGACCAGTTGTCCCCCGGCTTCCCCCTCTACCACCACGATATCAGCATCCAGAACCTCTTCGTTGATGAGGACTTGAACATCACTTGTGTCATTGACTGGGCGTTCTCTTCTACTGTTCCGCCGGCCCAGCTGCTCGCCACCCCAGGCCTCCCACATCCCAGGGATTTGGTGTTAGATTTACCCCTGGTAATCGCCTTCCGCTCCGGCTTCGAGGGTGAGAATAAGAAGGGTGTAATCGAGTCCGATGACTGGAAGGTTGGCCAGATGGTATCGCGATTCACGACCCTGGTGAAGCTGGACGCTTTACAAGATTACCACCACTTGGAGGCACTCTGGGCACGCACTCGGGAACTTATAACTCCTGGAGATGAAGGAGACGACACCAATACCCTAGCTGCTACTTTGGCAACGCGAAGCACGACGCGGGAAGCCCACGTGCTAGCCAGCGAACTCGCAGCCGATGACGAGCCTGAAAGCAAGATTCAGAAGGAGGAGAAGGAGTACTTTGATGTAGTTGGGGTCAGGAGACTGGCAATAACGCGCAAGGTAGTTTTGGCATCCAAGATGAACCCGCGATTTGTGGCAGAGGCGCGGCTGTGGAGATGTATTGATGCAGTTTTGGAGTATTACGATGGGCAAGAGGAATCTACATAGAAGGGGCGGGCGGTCTCAACAAGAGCTGGAGCGTTTCGATTTCCGTAACGGCTTGCATTTCATATTTCTTAGATTTTATATCGTAGAGCACTCATCCTCAATGAACCTTTCCAGCTCGACTTTATTACAACACCCAAGCCGGACCTCCACCTTAACACTCTGTGTTTGGTCCTCTTGGTCTCGGCTGACCTCTCCAAGTTTGTATGCTAGCTTCTTCCAGATTACCTCGGGACTTGTCCTTCATAAGATCAAGGCAGTGAAGACTTCATAAAGCTTTGAGGCCCGAGGGTAAACTGAGCATAGTTCGTGCACAGGCCCTAGCATGCTCTGCTAACATTGATCGACTTGCCCAATGCCACATTCAATATCACGAGTCGAACACCCCACACCAAGGCTGAAGGATTCCATGGCGCTTCACAGGCCAATCCTAAATATAATTATATGACGTCAATATCCGTCTGGCAGGCAAGTACCGAGGTGTGAAGGGCACTTGCTGCCTACTAAGTACTTCGGAGGAGTTTCCGGCCTTGTTCCGTCGATGGGGCTTGATGAAATGGGTGCTGCCTACCTGCGCCTACAAAGGCAACTGCTTCGTAGATCTTCGGACGAATTATGCACCCATATAGACATAGAGGAGGCTGGACTTTTAACGACGCGTCACCTGTTATTCTCTGTTCTATGGCGTACGGAGTATACGGAGTGCTAGGGCTTACCTTTGCTTTTCTAGAAAAGCCGGGGCCTGGAGGCAAGTCTCTTGCCAAAGTTCGGCGTCCGGCATCCGAACGAATCTCGTAACTAACAACGAACGCTTGGATCAATCATTGATCTTTTTCCAACCAGCGAAGTAAACTAGTGTTCTGGGAAGGTCAATCGAGAAGGGAGGAAAAAAAAGAAAATTTTCAAAATCTCGTATGATACCTTTTTTTTCCAGAAGCGATACCTCGGGTGATGGTCAACCTCATCCCCCAGCCCTAGCTTCCACCACGATCGCCAGGTCGAGAAGCGATCGATACTTTTCCTTCAAGCCCTGCCGTGATCGTGATCCCGAAGCCAACTCACCTGGGACAAAATTAGCGCCTGGTGCCTTGCAGAGTGTCTTATTCCCAAGGGCAGCATGACCAAATGTCTCATGCCAGCTATTGGGCACCTTCAACGGGTTAAACGTGTGGGAGAAGGGCATTAATGCAAGGCATTGCCAGCGAATATATTTAATTCCATCACCTGCATGTCTTGAATGCCTCCCTCATGAGCCCTTAGAATGGAGGCCAGAATGCGCAGGTTCGTAGCACTGTCCAGTCGTAGAGTCGGAAGCTGCCCAGGCGTTTGGCGGTGGGAGCGCCCGCAAAGGAGATGAGAACGCACTGACGTAGGTGGTCGCCGAATGGGTCGAACTGGACAATTTGGATGCGCCTGTGATAAAGTGGATGCAGATACATATCGCCTACTTCGTACATAAACTGCATACGCATACATACAGATACATAAACTATGCGTACATTACATGCCAGGCTATGAACAGGAACAAATGTCAAGAAAGTTGAGTTCTGATCAGGAACCACCCGTCCCTGAAACGGCACGCGATGGCGTGGTTGTGACTAAATCATGCAAGGGACGAGGAAAAACCTTGGGTTTGTTGGCACCATTTATTTTTGGGTTTTGACGAAGTCGAGGTGACTGCGACGACTGTGATAAGCACAATGTGCTGACTCTTAACCATGATGTCAGTTCTCGTGGTGCAGATCATTTAAAACGAGGTGTTCCCAAGGGGCAGAATAAGACGGGTTGGAAAGAGCTGCACTAAAGCTCGAAGAGGGAAGCCGCCGCGTACGCTAAAGGACGGCGATGATGTCAAATACGATGGAGTTGATGGGGTCGATATGCAACCTCTTGTGAGATCTACCTCGGTGAGGTGTGTTGATGTCATTTTGTACGAAGTAGTGCCTGCCTCTAGTTCGACTGCCACGCTGGAGGGAGACATAACTCCGCGGCCAGACTTCGGAAGACCGTTGGGTGTCGGAGAGCGGAGAGGTCCTCTGCGACACTGGCCTGACTCTATCAATATCACACTTTTTCTCTCGCCGGAGGAATCGGATCAGTGAACAAACGCCTGGCATCGGTAAACTCCAACCTTGCGAGTAGCACGTGGGGACGTGGAGACGAGACGGCAGCGGGCAGCGGGCGGCGGAGGAAACAAAAATCTGGGTCCGTAGCCCGATGATGTTACCTCGTGGGCCTCGTACCATATTGAAGTCGTTTAAAGTCGGTAAACGCCGATGTGAGCCATGAGAGACTTTCTTTGGTCCCCGTTCGCTAGGCTGGCTGTTCTTCTTTCTCTCGCAGGCCCGTGCATTTTGTGGACTGAGGAAACGAAGAGTGAAGGGGAGAAAAGACACCAACGAAGTTTCGACCTGTCATATTCGATATATCCACCTCTCCCCACACCGTTACCCGTTGCCGTTGTGTCAAGGAAACCAACCCTGCAAGTCCGGCGTCCGCGTCATTCGTATTTTTTAACCTGCGCCTTACGAAATAACTTCGTACGAAGCATCCCGTATCGGAGATCTGAAACTTTCAATCGCCTTGTGGGATCCATCACGGCTCCATATTTTTCGTGGACCCTCTTATGACACGATTCCTTTCGTAGGCGGCAGTCTATCAACGTTGATGTTTCCAGTGGCTGGCTAGGCAGTAGGATATCTCGCTCGAGCAGGCAATAAATCTGAGGCACTGAGTTATGGCTCGCCCTAGGGAAAGCAGCAGCCTACGGTGTGGTACATTAGAAATTGAAGATTGCAAATCGTGTGGCGTTGGTAATCGCACTCTCTACCATTTTCCAATTTATAATCGTCAATGTCACCTAAACTTGGCCTACGCCAAGACTCACGAGAACTTCAATGACGATGACCTTCAACAAGTCACTGGGTACAACCTCAGACTGGGTCCCCCTGCACTCCATCGCGGGGCAAAGTATCCTCTACTTTAGCTACCTTCGTCCTTTACCGCACTTCTGCAAGGGGTCTTGGAAATCAACGACACCATCCCCAAAAGTTATCGTGAGGTCATGAGGGGTGCGTTGGTGCACGCACATTTTCTTCTTTTTCTGTCTCTCCGAGGTCGGGTTTAACGCATTCCGAGCCTATCCCATTGCGAGAAGCCCTTGCAGCGAAGATTTTTGGAAAAACCACCAACGGGGAGAGATGGTTTTTTTTTAGTCTCTTCTGGAGTTGGAGGGAGGTGAGACCCCCCACACTATCGAGGTTGGCGGGAACCAACACTGAGCGGTGAAGAAAATATATGGTAATCACGAAGAAGAAACAGAGAAAAAGGAATGTAATGCAAATGTGGTAGCGGTAATTGGAAGATCGGGCTGGCCTACCAGAACGGAGAGGAAAGAAATCTACAATTACCGGTGTAGGCGATAGAAAAATTAAAAAAAGTTCCTAGCGCGTGGGATATCAGCTGCATTAACAAAGAAAACCCCGAACTGAGGCCTCGAAGCTGCCTTTGTCCTCGGATTGGATACCAAGCAGTATTGTGGCTAACGAATGGAGTCTCCGAAGAGGTCGATCGTGGAGAGGAAGGAAATAAAAAAAAAAATCAGGAAGATCCATCGGCCAGAACATCCAAATGGAGCCCGTGTGGGGTCTTTCCCTTCGGATCATCTGGGAAGAATTGATGTTTCCATGAATGTTGGTTTTCTTTGGTCAATCTTGGAAACCAACTTAAACGTGAAACATCAATGCTGTCATTGAGGCAAACAAAAACCTGCCTAGATTGATGTTTGCCACCGACATCAAAAGGTTTACGAATCTGTATCAGAATCAACCATGTGCGTCATTCTTCGAGTTTCAGTGCATCCAGCGCATCCGGAGTTTGCTCGATATCAATTTTGTTGAAGAGAGGAAGAAAACAAGTTGGATGGATTTAGTAAACTCCGGACGAGCGCCGATTCGGACCCAGAGAATGTCCGGCGGGGATTTTCTCGGACCTGAAGGACAGGGATTTGATCACTTCCGCATCTCGACTTGCTTTGAAAGAGAGAGTAGAAAAAAAATTTGCTTGTTTTTCTCATTTCCCGTTCAAGACATTCAAAACCTTGAAGAGAAAATTTGCAGTCGCCGTTAGCTTCGGGAACCATCAGCCTCTAGCTTCTCATCGCGTCCTTTTTTCACGATGTTCGTTCCTCGGAGATACCAAACCTGCAAGGGACTTCCATGATCGAAGATGACCAATTGCTCGCCATTGGCTAGCCTAGCCTAGTGGCCTAGCATCGGTAGTACCTAATGATTGATGGCCTGGCCAAAATCCTGAAAATCAGTGGGGTCTGGGGACAATATGCCAAGTCCAATATGTTCTTCAACCCTTGTCTTTTTTCCTTCTTTTCGAGGCTGGGAGCAGATCCTACGTCGGCCAAGACACGGCGTCATGTGGACAGCTTCCAAGAGTTGCCAGAGCCGGGGTTTGTCTTTGGCTTCTTTTCTCTTCTTTTTCAGACGAGGTAATAAACTACTCCGTACTTGTGTGGCCTGGGAGAGTCTCCAGTACTTTGTTGTAAGAGGACGGATATCGGCCTTTTTCCTTTTCGAGGTTGCGTTGGAAATATCGCAAATTCCAGCGCTCTTATTTTGTGTGCCTGGATTGCCCCAGCTACTACTTCGTACATATTCTACTTTTAGACGCAGAAGTACGAAGTAAGGGTCCTGCAAGGAGCAGGAGACTTTCCACGACGCCGAATCCTCGAAAACGAAAAAAAAACACCACGTCTAGAGAAATTGGAACACCGACCGCGGAATGAAGGTCATGTGGAGCAAAGGATCTGCTTTTTTCTCTTTTTCATTTTCTCTTTTTTTTTCTTCCTCTCACGATGTTCCTAGCCCTGACGTTCTGGGATGTCCCCGGTTCACTCCCAATACATTGGAGAGGGCTGGGAAACTAAGCTAGCTTCAATCCAAAACTGATCGTCTCTTGCTGTGATTCGACGAGAGTCCGTACCGTACCTG